CTTTTGATTACTTTATGCAATCCCCACAAAATTAGATTTTCTGAATTATCCTCCACCGTATTTCTTTCTAGTTGTTGCATGTTAAAGAAGAAAGAATTGTAAATTTATAACAAAAATTATACATATTTTTTTGTCTTTTATCACCAGTTTCTCTTTTTTTGCTATATGAGTTATGCGTCTTTATTTATTTACATTTTCTTATATTTGCTATGGTTATGTGTCTATAGTTTTGCGTGTGTCACTCACAACAACTCTAAAAATGCTCTCTGTCAGTCACACACATGTGTGTGTTTGTGTGAGATAGAAAGTTTGTTCCACTTTGTGTTTATGCTCTTGGACCAGATCTTGATTTAAATGTAGAAATTTTCAGATTTAGACTGGATTTTTTTTTTTTTTTTTTTTTTTTTTTTTGACAAACAAAATTTAAAAAAGGCATTAACCCCCCAAAAATCAAGCCCAGATTTTTGGTTTGTGTTTAGATGTTCGTTATTTAGGTAAAGTCACAGTGGGGTCAGCTGGACCCCAAACACTGATTAAGGGTAAAAAGATACAGTACAACTTAAGATTTTAAGAATGTGTTTGTAAATGTTGAAATTAATTAACTAACTAATTAAATAAAAATGTATATTATTAATAAATTAAGAATTGTTTAGTTTATTGTTATATAATGAAACCTTTTTGTACTGTTACTTAAACTTTTATATATATTTTCTAAAAATGTATTGTCCTTGAGTAATGCAGTTTAACCTCTGCACAACGTTTATTAAAACTGTTCATCATGCTTTTCTCACATTTTCTTGCTTACAGAAATAAATATGTAAGTTCTTGAAGGGAAAAGCTTACATATGTGTATATACAAAAATGTTATCAGCAATTTCCAAATTTAACGTTCATATGTAAAACACGTGCAAGTCATTATTACCGCAATATTTGTTTTACAAAGCTGCTTTGAAACAATCCACTTTGAAAAGTGCTATAACACATTTGACTTGACACTGATAATATGCATGTCACACCTGCGTCACATTACACACACAAAGTACACTGATATTATGCATACCTTTGTTGGTATGTTGGTTAAAGGAATTTGATTTAATTTAATGGCACTTACCTTTGCATTCTAATAAAGCTGCTATTAGAAAAAATAGAATTCGCCAACTTGACGGCCGAACACTCCCCATCATATACAGATGCTCACTGCAGGACAGCTGAACTCTATATGAGCAAAGGCCACATCACTTCACTTTGCAAGAGTTGTTTTCAGTTACTCTGAATTTAATGAGGAAGTAAACAAGATCTAATAATGTGCTCATTTAGAGGCCTTTTGTGATATTTTGTATGTGATGCGAGTAGGAAGACATCATATTTTTTTAAACTTTTAAATCTTTTAGTTTTAATTATAAGATGTAGAAGTTGGAAACATGAAGAGCGAAAATATTGCATCACATAGATAGACAGTTTAAAGAAGCTTACTGCAAAACGACTGAATATGAGCACAAACCACAAGACTTTTATCTTCACACAGTTGTTTTAAAGTCTGGTAATACCAAACTCTGCTACTTTGCTTTGCAGACAGAGTCTGGAATGGCAAATGAAATAGAGGGAAATGTTTTCGATTTGAATCCCATTTCCTGGATGTACATTTAAGGACTATGGTTTTACAAAACCAGGAAATAATTTGAGTATACTTGAGTAAGTATATTTAAAATAATTGTTTAATTGTTAAATAATTGTTTAATAATTGTTAAATTTCCCTGAAAGAGCATACACAAGTGTGACACTGTGTCTTTTTAAGGATGTCATGCTGAGACTGTCATGTGTTCGAGTGTAGTTCAGACCACCTCGATACTAGTTCAGCTCAGTTTCTTTTTGTCATTGTTACAGGATAACAACGAAAAGTTGTTAGAGCAAAAAGAAAACAAAAAACAAAAAACAGACATGGATATAGTTTAAGTTGTTCACCCATTTTCCTTATCACCATGTGTCTCCATAAATTAAATTTAAATTACCCATGACTTTATACCTGATTGCTAGTTTTGGCCCTGATGGACCAATATCTTCTCCCCGAAGGGATTAGTTGTAAAAGATGATGTGCTGAATGTAAATGGTTTGGAGGATGTCCTTCACTCGGTTCATGCAGCGGGAGGTGTACACAATTGAGATATCTGGGAGAGTGACCCCAGTGATCTTTCCTGCCACTCTCACCTCCTTCTCAGAGCTGGTGCAGGCAGCAAACCACACAAGTAACCCATAGGTCAACACACTCTCCACTGCACAGTGGTAAAAGTTGATCATGAGTCTCTGGGGCAGTTTTGCCCACTTCAGCTTCCTGAGGAAGAAGAGGTGCTGTTGAGCCTTCGCTGTGGCAGAGGCGATGGTTTTGCCCCACGACAGATCCTCCGTCAAAATCACACCTAAAAACTTAAAACTAGAGACCCTCAGAGGTACGCACAGATAGACCTGCTTGCCTCTCCGGACACATCAAATTGCCAGTTGTTTTACTCCCTGACCAAGGGGACTCTCTGCACAGATGCGCTGGTGCACAGCTAGCCCCGGGGTCTACACAAGTGTCTTTCCCCCAGTGAGCCTTCTTGCACAGACACTGTGTCAGGGAGGAGCAGGTCTTTCTAGTTGTGCCCTATTGGACCTGGTTCCCAGAACTCATGCTCATCACGACAGCCTTCGTTTTCGACAGCCCAGTTTTCTGGCAGCTTTGGCTTCCATCAAGAGAGTAGGGGACCTGCAAGCATTTTTGGTTGTGCCTGGAATTTAGGCCAGACAACTCTCATGTTGTCCTGAGACCACGGCCTGGAAATGTGCCGAAGGTTTCCAACTTTCAGGAAAAGAGCTGCAAGTGCTGCCATTAGAAGAGGCCGACCCAGCCCTAGATTTGCTTTGTCTCATCCGTGTTTTGCGCCTGTACATGGACCAAACGCAGAGTTTCAGGACCTCAGACCAGCTCTTTGTCTGTTACGGAGGCCAGGATGCAAGGCTGTCTCCAAGCAGAGGTTAGCCCACTGGATGGTGGATCCTATTGTCATATCAAACCCACTCTGGTTGAGGGCACACTCGACTAAAAGTGTTGCTTCCTCCTGGGAGTTGGCACAAACCACCTCGCTGGCAGGTATATGTAGAACTGTGGGTTGGGTGACAACCAACACGTTTGCTGGAATTTTTAGCCTTTGTGTAGAGCCGGTATCCTCCCGTGTACTTACCACAGGTGGCCAGTAGGGCTAGGAACCGTTTTTTTGTCGGTTTACAGCGTCATTCCCCTTGGTAACGCCAAATGTGACCAACTGAAAGGGAACGTCTCGGTTACTTATGTAACCCTCATTCTCTGAATGAGGTTACCGGCTCGGCTCCTCAGCGAAAACCAAACATGCAATGCATCTGTGCCATATTTATACCTGTGCTGCAGGACGGTGGGTCAGATGAAATCAGCCATGCCAATGTGCATTGGCTCATTTATTTACTATAGAAGTGGATTAGTCTTTCGAAGCGATGGGGGTAGTTAGTCCTAATGCATGAAGGTTGTTAATCAGGTAGCTTGGTACGATGGAGTTAAAGGCAGAGCTGTAGCCAACAACTGATGTTGGTCTAGATCAGCTGTTAAAGAGTCTTTGATGGGAGTAATTTCTAGTCGTTTAAAACATTTTGCAATGACAGGAGTGAGAACAATCTGTTTATAGTCATCAATACATGTTATCATGTTTGTTTGTTTTTTGGAGCAGGCATGATGGTTGTGGATTTTAGGGTTGTGTGGCTATCCCTTCTCACTGGTACTATTGTTCCCTCTTCATCCCCCGAATCGCTATCCCCTGCCTCTGATGTCATCTGTCTTCGATGTCTTGCAGGGAGCAAAGATCTTTACCACGTTCGATAACCGCAATGCCTATCATCTCATTCGAATTAGGGAGGGGGCGCAAATGGAAAACTGGTTTTAACACACTCCTAGGCATGTTATTAATTAGGGATAATTATGGTTCCTGGAAAGGTCCAGGCTGTTATCTATTGGCCCGTTCCAAATTCTCACGTCCCCATCTGTCTACCATCTCTTATCGGCCCGGGACTAAGAAAGTTAAGCCGGATGCGATCTCTTGCTTTTTTGACTCCTCGGCCACCACCCCAACCCAGGAGAAGATTTCTCCTGGCCGTGTTATGGGTGAGACGGTCTGGGGAATCGATAAACTGTTGAAGTGCTCTCTCTCGTGTCGCCGCCCTGCGCAACTGTCCTTTTTTGTTCCTGTCTCAGTGCGTTTAGCTGTCCTCCAGTGGGGGCATTCTTCTAAATTGGTTGCCCATTCCGGCACTCTTTGATCCGTCAACGTTTCTGGTGGCCCAAACTTGACACGCAATGTTTTATCGCCTCCTGTGCCATTTGCGCTCAGACAAAGGCAGGCAATTCACCCACCTTACCGTCGTTGAACGCTTTTCTAAATCCGCACATTTTATTCCGCTCGCAAAACTCCCTTCTGCCAAAGAGACTGCCCAAGTCATAGTCTATCATGATTTTAAACTTCACGGTCCCCCCCTCCAATATCATCTCGGATAGGGGGCCACAGCTCGCCTCGCAGTTTTGGAAGAATTCTGCCGTCTCGCCCATCGCAACCTGCATTCTGCAGCTCTCCTAGGCAGAATATGTGCACAATTCTCTCCCATCTTCTGCAACAGGTGTTTCGCCTTTTCACTGCTGCCTGGGTTACCAACCTCCTTTGTTCTTTGTCCCAGAACTCGGAATCTAATGCCCCGTCGGTAAAGGCATTTATCAGCTGTTGTAAGCGTACCTGGAGGAGGGCTTGCTGATGATCTAGAAGATGCATGAGCAACAGGCACCGCGTAAAGAGTTCATGCTATATTTGCCAAAACCATTACCCAATCATAGCAGTGGGTGTTTACTTCGAAAGCAGCACCCCAATCAAAATGAAATCAAAAGAGTTTTTCAAAAGAATGTGAAAACAGAATAGACTATTAGTTGATTAGGATGTTTTTAATGATAAATTCTTGCTAACATTATAAGTAGACCTTAAAGAACATCATAGAATAAAAAAAAATGCATTTATAATTGATAAAAAATATTTTAAAAGTTCAGTTATATGAAATATTACCTAAAACATTTGTGTATAACTGATTCTCCCCCTTTAATATAATTTGTGACAGATGACTAATTGAAGACTTTCTCAAAGACTAAAAATTAACACCAGAAAAAAAGCACAATCAAAACAGTAATTAATTAAAATCATCATACACCTCATCTGGTCTGCATGCAGAAGCTTCTGTTCGTTCGTACACCAACAGAATTTAAAATATGGCAGTGCATATAGCATAAATTGTGAAAAAAAAATTATGTCAGTCATCATGTGTTGCAAGAGTTGCAAGGTCATGTGTTAAATTCAACAAAAGAATAGAATGGGGCATCAAACCCTGTAAGAGAAAGAGTTTTTTTATAACAGTTGATCAAGTACATTTGTTGTATATATTTTGTAACGACTTACCATAAAATAGCACTTACCTCCTGGAATTTCAGAATAAGATACGGAAGACCAGCAGTTCAATTCAACTACAAGATACAAAAGTAATGACTTTACCATGTGTTCAACTTCTATCATCATGATTTGACAAAAATTTATTTTCAACATAAGGGCTCTCATCACCATGATAGCATGACATGGGCTGTATTTCAAACACACTCAGCAGAACATTGAAATCCTAAATATATTTACATTGGTTGCTTTCCCGTTCTGACAGTAACAGCAAATCTTACAATTGACCGTTCGCAAAGACCCGCCCCCTTTACCGTAACTTTACTGTTGCTATATCTGACAAGCTACGCCACTCTCACGCAGTGAAAATCACATTGCGGAGGAAAGAGGACACTGTCAATGCACTAACAGACAGGACTTGGTCATTTTTTAAAGCTATTTAAACAACAAATACAGTTTTGTGGCTCTGTTGTGAATGTGATATTGCTGTAGAGCCTTAGTTAAAGCTGATAGTGAACTGATCTTCTCTTCCTTCTAGTTCAATTATAGCAACAAATAAACATGAATGAACATCAGAAGGAATGGTGTTTTAACCGCGGAAAGATGCAATGCTATATTCAGTTTTCAAGTTCAAATCCTCCAACGTTAATCTACTAACTCTCCTGTCTGCTTTGACAAAATTGGCGGATTCGGAAAACATCAATTGAATTCACTCATTTGAAAGAAATCAATTCACTAATTTGAAAGAAAATAGCAGCAAAATAAACAAATATAATTTAAGTGTAGCAGATCTAGGTTTCTGATTGGATTGGACCACAGTAGCCTACTGTATTTTTAGGATCTCTTCTATCCAATAAGCTAGTATGACATGCTGTTAAAGAACAATTTAACAGTGTGAAACTTTTCAGGACCCCAGTTGTGGACTTACTTTGGCTGTTGATATTGCGCCTTTGTTTTCTGAAATAAAGAATCACACATAAGATCAGTGATGTGAGGACACACAGAGACACTATTGCGGTCATCACCACTGCTATCAGATTAGTTGTCGCATCAATGTTGCCTTCAGTCTGGACAACAGGACTGTCAGCTGAGGTTGAAACATCTGTGATCACGAGAAAAGATAAACTGAAATCAGTCAGTTTGATTAGGTTATTTTTATCACACACATGTAAGTGTTTGTCTTACCTGTGGCTAACAATATTGTGGAAAGTGTTTCCAATGTTGCAGTTGAATAAAACTTCTCTTCACCTATTTCCAGATCACCTATTTCTAAAGTATGAAAAGTATCACATTTTAGAACATATTTAGACAATAATAAAACTTAAAAAAAACACAAACTACGTATAAACGTCATTATCTCAAAACTAAACACTTTTACATACATGCTGCTGACATATTACTGTAGCAGAGTTCCTTAATTTTAATCTACAACATTCCTTAATTTTAATCTAAACCTTTTAGAATATTTGTACACAGTGTTTTACCAAATTTATTGCCATTTTCAATACAAAATATGGTAACACTTTAAAATAATGGTCGGTAGTTAACAAGTAGCTATGCAGGAAGTAATAGGTAGTACTGCATTAACACCTAACTTAATACTATTAACTAATATGGAAGCAATATTAACTAAGCAGTAAGTAATAGGTAATTTAGTACAAAGGTAGTTCCTTGGTAGGTATTTGATCGTTACTAAAGAAATATATCCTCATTGAGAACTACTTGTGAACTAAGAATTAATAACCAATTAATTACTAATCACAAAAGTAACATGTCTAAAAAGTGAACAATTGAGGGGGTTTAATGCTCTTAACATGGTCATAACATTTCAGAAGCATGTGCCTCAAATGGGTTCTTTGCGGAAACCAGTTTATAGTTTATATATCCCCCCAAATACATTAGCTAGGTTGAGATTGTGACCACTACTCTTGCCAGGATGGACGCATGTTCTCTGTTTATTTAAAACTTAAACATAAAATAATCCTAATAAAGACAGTTTTTAAAAATAAAATAATTAGGAAGTGATGCTGACACTCTCATGATTGGATTAGTTCACTATTATGAGCTCTATTGAATGTCAGTCACATATATCTCAGACTCCAAAGACCTATAACTTTATGTTACAGTAGCTGCCTTAGGAGGACTTCTCTTTAGGACATGAATATAAACATTGATGTTCACTTGTCAAAAACAATTAGCATCTTTAATGAACAGTTTTACAGTTTGTTAGAATATTAGTGCCTCACAGAACCTGTACAGTATGTGTCAAATATAAAATTAAATAATTTGTATCATTTGTGAAAAAAATGTTAACTCCTCAATAACTACTTAAGCGTTACCTTGTCATCCCGCAGGAACTACTAGTGATGTGGCCCATTATTTTAAAGTGAAAAACATGTTAACTCCTAACTAACTACAAACGTTACCTTGTCATGTTTACAAGGTAACGCTTGTAGTTAGTTAGGAGTTAACATGTTTTTCAAGGTAACGCTTGTCATGTTTACAAGGTAACGCTTGTAGTTAGTTAGGAGTTAACATGTTTTTCACTTTAAAATAATGGGCCACATCACTAGTAGTTCCTGCGGGATGACAAGGTAACGCTTAAGTAGTTATTGAGGAGTTAACATGTTTTTCACAAATGATACAAGTTATTTAATTTTATATTTGACACATACTGTACAGGTTCTGTGAGGCACTAATATTCTAACAAACACTGTAATCTGGAAGATGTGGTTTTGCGCTTATCGTAACATAAATGCAGCCAATTTCTTCATTAAAGATGCTAATTGTTTTTGACAAGTGAACATCAATGTTTATATTCATGTCCTAAAGAGAAGTCCTCCTAAGGCAGCTACTGTAACATAAAGTTATAGGTCTTTGGAGTCTGAGATATATGTGACTGACATTCAATAGAGCTCATAATAGTGAACTAATCCAATCATGAGAGTGTCAGCATCACTTCCTAATTATTTAAGGTTTATTTTTAAAAACTGTCATTATTAGTATTATTTTAGGATTAAGTTTTAAATAAACAGAGAACATGTGTCCATCCTGGCAAGAGTAGTGGTCACAATCTCAACCTAGCTAATGCATTTGTGGGAAATATATAAACTTAATAAACTGGTTTCCACAAAGAACCCATTTGAGGCACATGCTTCTGAAATGTTATGACCATGTTAAGAGTATAAAACCCCCACAATTGTTCACTTTTTAGACATGTTACTTTTGTGATTAGTAATTAATTGGTTATTAATTCTTAGTTCACAAGTAGTTCTCAATGAGGATATATTTCTTTAGTAACGATCAAATACCTACCAAGGAACTACCTTTGTACTAAATTACCTATTACTTACTGCTTAGTTAATATTGCTTCCATATTAGTTAATAGTATTAAGTTAGGTGTTAATGCAGTACTACCTATTACTTCCTGCATAGCTACTTGTTAACTACCGACCATTATTTTAAAGTGTTACCCAAAATATTTTTGACTGACCCAAAACTCAACTCACATCTATAGCACAACTTAAATTAAAATCTTTTAATGTAATCAATGTCTATCAAAGCGTAAGAAATACTGCATTGAAAACACACCTTTCATGACGAGCTTCACCTCATAGCAGGTTTTTTCACTCACTCTGCACTGATACCATGATCCATCAGTGTTTACTGCAACCCTTATAAGAAGAGATCCATTCCCAAGTGTTTTCGCTCTCTCATACAGAGGCCTCGGGCTTCTCTCTATGCTGTTTGAGGGCTTGTGTGGAGGTCGATATTGAGCTATTTCTGTTTGTTGGTGACCATGAAAGATTTTCCAAGTTACTTGATCAGTTCTGAATTGTAGAGGATGTTCAGAGCATGGCAGCAACACTGAAGAGTCTGGAGTTGCATGGACAGAATCCAAAGTTTTACACTCTGAAACCAGAGAAATATATTTATTATATTTATAACAGTTTTCAGAAGGATTATTTACTTGTTTTTTTTTTAAATTAGCATTCTCACCTTTGACCCCCAGGTTAAAAATAGTTGCTTTAAGGCAGTCCCAATCTTTGTAGACTTCACATTCATAATGACCTTGATCAGATAAACTGATATCTTTCAGATCAAGTGTAACATTTCCAGCATTATTTCTCACAGACCATCTCTGATGCTCTAATGCTGAAGAGTTGTCTGAATACTTTAGGATGTGTTGAAGCGGGTTTGTCCTGCTTAGTGTCACTGTCAGAGACTCCAGCGGGTGGGTTGTGGTTAGGCAAGAAATAGACATATTGTCACCCTGAACATAGTTTATGTTCAACCGATGGACCTTGCAGGGTCTGTGTGTCACCACTAAAAGGAAAAAAAGAGCAAAACAAGACGTACTGAGAGAGCTGAGACGTACTGAGAGAGCCGAGGCATGGAAACCACAGCGTTTATAGAAATAAACAGCATTTACTTTGTACCAAGTGGTTCTACCTCTAAATGTATTAATACATTTTATGAAATGAGAAAGAAAGGGTTGGGTATCGGTTGGGTTTTATCCGATACCAGTACCTACTCGGTATTTTTTAAATGGTTCCGGTGCCTAAACGGTTGTTGAAACGGTACTTAAGAAAACAAAACTGCACACACTTTGTCAAAAAAAAAAATAATACCCCTTTATTTACAGGGCCAAACTGGACACAATATTAACTTAGCTACAATACAAATTCAAGTAACATATGATAATAATAAATAAACCAATATAAAATAAAAGTTCATATTTACATAGTATCAGATAAAACAATATTATATCAAACAATGTAATTATAGCCTACTGGAGATTATATGCCAATATAATATGACAACGTGAGCGTCAAGGCGGCGCGAATGGTGATTCTATATCCATAGACAGTCGTTATTCTGACGCGTTATATTACACGTGAAATGCAGCCAAACATTTCACGTGTGTTTAATCTCCTCGCTATCAGCAGACATTCCGGGAGTTTTCCGCATATTGATAACGGCTCCCGGATGATCGCAAATGAGTTCAAATCTCCCGGAATCTAGAGCGAGCGAGCAAGAGCCCGCGTGCGAGATCAGACAGTGCTTCAATAAACCGTATTCATATCATACTGGCAAGTTTACGCACGTCGGAGAGGGAGAGGGAGACAGCGACTGCGTGTGTGTGCCTCATGCCATAGACTCAGGAATCGAAATCAGGGAACCGAAATTTTCATTCTTATTCGGTCTGGTTATACCGTTCACTTCAGAACCGGTTCCTTATTGGAACCGAGTTTCGGTACCCAACCAAGGTCAGAATTATTTGCACCCCTGAAAAATATTATCAAATATAGCTGTAAAAATAAATTTGCTTACTTTCATTAATGTTTTTTGCACTAAACTAACCTTTCATTGAACAAGAATTTAAAGTAGGGGTTAAATCACATTATGAAATAGATGATTTTCAAATCATGTTGCTTTCAAATAGGAAATGGTTAGGTTTATTTATACATACATACATACATACATACACACACACACACACACACACACATATATATATATATATATATACATATATATATATATATATATATACACACATATATATATATATATATATATATATATATATATATATACATATCTTAACATCATTTTCCAAATTAAAACTAATAATACTGCAGTATTTTTCTATAAAGTTGCTTTTGAAACAATGTCCACTGTGAAAAGTGCTATAAAACACACTTAACTTGACACTGATCATATGCATATCATACTGGCAAGTTTACATACCCAAAGTACATTGGTATTTTGCGTATATCTAGTTTGTATGTTGTTTAAAGGAATTTGATTTCATATAATGGCACTTACCTTTGCATTCTAATAAAGCTGCTATTAGAAAAAATAGAATTTGGAAATATGACGGCCGAACACTCCCCATCGTATACAGATGCTCACTGCAGGACAGCTGAACACTATATGAGCAAAGGCCACATCACTTCACTTAAGCAAAGCTATTTTCAGTTACTCTAAATACATTTAATGCAGAAGTAAGAGACCAGATCATGGGCGTAGCTTTTTGGTGGGCCCGACCACTCCTTGTAGGAACTGAAAGATTTGACTAAATATTTAAAAAAAAAATACTATATTTAACTCAAAAGTAAATATGCAAATAATTAAGCAATTTTAATCCATTTTAAATTGTTATTTTGTAAATAAATTAATAAATCAAAATTCCTGACTCTGCATTTTGTTGGATAATATGGTATTTGATTGCCTGTGGCGTGAATGGATAGTTAGTGATTTTTTTTATTTTTTTTTACATGCAATGTAAAACAGCGGCAGGGAAATCCTTTAATGTTAGGTTAACATTTAAAATGTTAGGTTTTTAACATTGCACTGATGCGAACTCTGCAGCTGACTACTTCCTGAAAGTCAAAGGGGCGTTACTTCCTGACAGTCAAAAGGGACCCATTTGGGACAGGGCCTGACATTGTTGCGAAACACTGACAAAGTCACAGAACATACGTACCTTTTTGGATACGTAACAAATGATTTTCAAGAAATTGAGAAATTGGATGGGTAGCAATACTGAAGGTTGTAGCTGGGTAAGAGTAGAGGTGGACTGCATTATAGAGAAACAAGTAGCTGTCTACTCCTGGTCTGTGGTCTTTCTCAGAATGCTCAGGAGGAAAAACTGATTAGTGAGGTTTTTAGGACATTGTGTGCTCCATTCAGTAGGTTGCTCTCTAAGAGCCTCTGGGAAAATATTGCAGAGGCACTAGCAATGGATACCGGACAATAGCCAAGGCTATGTAGTTTATCCCCCTGTACAGCTCTGCTCTGGGTTTTAGGCTGAGTCCTGTCCTACAGAGATAGGGAGTAAGGTTTTGCCCAAGGCCTGTGCACACTGGCTTGTAGGGAATAGAACTACTATGCAACTTTTTGCACAAGGCACATAGGATGCGCCCTTGGGGTTGACTCCACCTAGTCCCGAAGAGTCACTCAGTGCTTTGCCACTTCGTGCACATTCAGTGCTTAGTGATGCAGGCATTCTTTTGAAAGGGAACATCTCAGGTTAAATGAGGTTATACAGGAACAGGTCGCTCCATCTCGTTGCCATGCCTCAGGGTTGCCTGCACGTCTCCTTTAGACAAAACTCAGGCTCCCTTTTAATATTTATGGGTGCATGTGGCTGCATGGACTGCTATCAGCCATTGAACATTGGAGTGTATGTCCACATGCCCCAGACACCAGTCATGCTGATGGCGTTCCCCATAGCGTCATCACCAAGACGCCAAGAAGACCAGTAGCAGCATTACCATTTGGATACAATATACACTCACCTAAAATGATTACTTATTAATGCAATTATCTAATAAACCAATCACATGGCAGTTGCTTCAATGCATTTAGGGGTGTGGTCCTGGTCAAGACAATCTCCTGAACTTTAAACTGAATGTCAGAATGCGAAAGAAAGGTAATTTAGAAATTTAGAAAGGCATGGTTGTTGGTGCCAGATGTGCCGGTCTGAGTATTTCACAATCTGCTCAGTTACTGGGATTTTCACACACAACAAAATTTTTAGGGTTTACAAAGAATGGTGTGGAAAGGGAAAAACATCCAGTATTCGGCAGACCTGTGGGCGAAAATGCCTTGTTGATGCTAGAGGTCAGAGGAGAATGGGCCGACTGATTCAAGCTGATAGAAGAGCAACTTTGACTGAAATAACCACTCGTTACAACCGAGGTATGCAGTAAAGCATTTGTGAAGCCACAACACGCACAACCTTGAGGCAGATGGGCAACAACAGCAGAAGATCCCACAGGGTACCACTCATCTCCACTATAAAGAGGAAAAAGAGGCAACAATTTGCAATAGCTCGCTAAAATTGGACAGTTGAAGACTGGAAAAAATGTTGCCAGGTCTGATGAGTCTCGATTTCTGTTGAGACATTCAGATGGTAGAGTCAGAATTGGGCGTAAATAGAATGAGAACATGGATCCATCATGCCTTGTTACCACTGTGCAGACTGCTGGTGGTGGAGCAATGGTGTGGGTGGTGTTTTCTTGGCACACTTTAGGCCCCTTAGTGCCAATTGGGCATCGTTTAAATACTACGGCCTACCTGAACTTTGTTTCTGACCATGTCCATCCCTTTGGCCACCATGAACCCATCCTCTGATGGCTACTTCCAGTAGGATAATGCACCATGTCTCAAAGCTCGAGTCATTTCAGATTGGTTTCTTGAACATGACAATGAGTTCACTGTACTAAAATGGGCCCCACAGTCACCAGATCTCAACCCAATAGAGCATCTATGGGATGTGGTGGATTGGGAGCTCCATGCTCTGGATGTGCATCCCACAAATCTCCATCAACTGCAAGATGCTATCCTATCAATATGGGCCAACATTGCTAAAGAATGCTTTCGGCACCTTATTGAATCAATGCTATGTAGAATTAAGGCAGTTCTGAAGGCGAAAGGGGGTCTATTTACACTCCAAACTATGTTTGTGATTATGATAACATGATAACTAATACTAGTTTGCAATACAAAGCAGAACAACAGAAATTTTTTGGTACAGGTAAAATAAATGGAAATGGATGACACCAGAAGTCAGACAAATTCAATTTGCAAATGGCAATTTGCAAGTAGCCTACTCATTTATTAAACGCACAGGTAAACCAATGCGTTTTGAGTCTAGATTTGAATGTTACTACTGTAGCAACACATCTAATCTCTTCTGGAAGCTGGTTCCAGCTGTGGCTGGAATAATATTTAAAAGCAGACTCACCATGCTTAGAGTGAACCCTTTGTATTTCTATCTGATGTAATCCTAATGATCTGAGTGATCTGTTTATATTCACTGAGCATATCTGCAATGTATTGAGGTCCTAGGCCATTGGATGATTTATATACTAGTAATTATAATTTTAAATAAATCCCAAATGTAACTGAGAGCCAATCTAAAGACCTGAGGACTGGTGTGATATGTTCATATTTTCTGAACCTGCTCAGAATCCTGGCAGCAGCATGCTGTATGAGCTGCAACTCACTTATGGTGTTTTAGGAAGGCCAGTGAGGAGGCCATTACAGTAATCCACCTTGCTGGTGATGAAAGCATGCACAAGTTTCTCTAAGTCTTGACAGGAAACAAAGCATCTAATTCTTGCAAATGGTGGTGTGCTAATTTAGTTATTGCTTTGACATGACTACTGAAACTAAGGTCTGACTCTAGAGTCACATCAAGATTCCAGATTCCAGTAAAAAAAAAAAAATAATACAATGCGGAGGAAATATTAAAGTACTGAATTTATTTTTGATAGAAAAGGTTTTGCTTTCGGAAAAATATTAACCTTCGATTTGATCAGTGCTTGATGCAAATTCTATTACAAATATATACAAAATACACGTACATAAACTTGTTATTAGATATACAAGGCATTGTAGTGGTTTTCCATTCAGACGTGGTGTGCATAGATAAAGTACAGAGAAAAGGCAGCTTGGTATTAAGAAATGCCAAAGATAATGTCCACAACAGAATTATAGGAAAGCTCCTGTATGAACGGTAGGAAATATCAGTAATTAATTTACTTTATATAAATTTGCTTTACTATAATACACTGAAATGGAGTTAACAATGTATATCATGTGCTAGTAAACAAAGAACAAACAAAATGAATAAATGTCATTGTTCTATTATGCCTGATGGAAAAACAAACACTGATTTTCTTTTTTTTAGCCTGTCGATTAAAAATTAACAAGTTTTAAGAAAATAAAAACTGGCTGTGCTTTAGTAGTTGTATAAAATATGTTTACAGTACAATTGATTTAGAAAGGCTGTTTATATATTGCTAAATGACATTGCTACCTACAGTTAAGTCAGTATTGTTTGTACAGAAATATTTGTAAATCAAGAAGGTGAAATGTAAATGTTTATTGTGATTATATTGTTGTTATAAATTGAATTTTGGCATCAGTGATGCATCAGTGTAGTGCTGATTCACTCGTACCTACAGAACGTATTTGCCTTTTTTCGTTCTGCAACTGAAAAAACTAAAGTATATTATAAAGAGCTGGAGTCTAAGCAGAGAATGACATATTAGACCTTTTTTGATACTAAACACATCTTTCGGTTTCTCGCCTGTAAGATTAACATATTTTTTAATGTGTTTTGGTCTATTAACTGCATTGTTATTTGTGTTGCTTTTGCTATACTACACTATTAATGGCAAACATTTACTTTTCTTTCATTCATTCACATGACTACCCTGTGCTAACAGGCATTTTTGGAAAATGTTCACTGATGTGTTCCTTTCCCGTCTACTAATACCCTGATATCTCCCATCAGTCTCTCTTAACATACACCTAATGAAATCATTAGTTCTCATGATTGGTCTCTAAAAAAATTCAATCATGTTTCCTTCCATCTATATGTATTCATTCACTTTATACAAAAGTAAGACTCTTGTTTCTTCTATTTATCCCTAATTACTTTAAGTACAATATAACATAATGTCTCACATTGTCTTATATTCTTAATTCAGTTTCTAAATGGCTTAAACTCTGAACTGATCTCCTCTAAAAGGCATTTTTTTACACAAAACTTAAAGGGATCATTAAAGCTTTTCTTTCAAAAGGGTCTCTAAGGTGGAACTGAGGTCTAGATGAATAAAGCCATGACTGAAATCTATTAGACTCACTGACAGATAAAATGTCAGGTGTCTTAAAAATGTGTGAACAGATGTTGTCCAGTTTTATGGACAGAAAAAAGTTTAACCCCAGGTTGTACAATATGATGTATAATTGGGGTTGATGTGGCGCAGCAATTAATGCTTAAGGGTGGAAACCAGAAGACTGGAGTTTCAGTATCTATCATTTATATTAGAGCAGGATTGAAGTTACTCTGTGTCCAGGAATGGAGCGCCAATCCTTTTCATTGTATGTACTGCATCAACAGGTAGCTCCCATTGACGCCTCATTCCACAGATTCCTCTCTCGGCTTCAGCAGGAACTGGTCTGTAAATTGCTCTCGGTGAGGATGGAGGTTATGCTGGAATGATCATACAATCCATCATCATCATCATCATCATCAGAGCTGAGCACTGAAGACTCCAGAGCTGACTGCCGGGCCTGCTGGATCTTCCTTCTGAGGATGAAATAAGGCAATTTGACAGTAGTGTCCTATGGTATAACATACTGTACAATACATTTTAAATAAAAGTTCATTTTGGTGTAATTATTATACATCAAGTTTTTATTTTTAGGTTTAATTTATTATTATTATTATTTACTATTATTTAGAACAGTGATTCTCATACAGGGATCCAGGGCCCACTAGGGGGAATGAATGAAAACAGAATGAAAAGTATTTAAATTTATATGATTATTAATTTAATTAATATGTATAATATTATTAAAGCAAATCTAACATAACTAACTTGCTTTTTTGGGTTTTTTTATCCTCAATGGTGCTTTTACCTGTGCTTTTTCAGATATTACTTTTTCATGCAGTGTGGACTATAGTTGTTTGTGAGTGTATAAGGTCTGCAAAGTTTTAAAGATCAAAGTGCACAATAAATTAAGTTATCTCTCTCTCAAAACAAAGAAAGGATCGATTCTGAATTGCAGAAACAAGTCATCAGTAATTCCACTCATGTAACTTGCATGCAAAAACACAACAATGTAACACATTTGCATAATAACCACCAACTATATTCAGTGGATGCCCGCAGCACTCTAGCTGGTTCGCGTTGAGTACGAACTTGATACTGTTAGTTCGTACTGAACGCAATATGATGTCTTACGTCATCAGCGTCTTGACAACAGAACCGGAAGAGAATACAATGCTGAATAAAGTCGTGGTTTTTGTTATTTTTTGGACTAGAATGTATTTTCGATGCTTCAAAACATTCTTACTTAACCCACTGATGTCACATGGACTACTTTGATGATGTCTTTATTTTCTCTCTGGACAAGGAAAGTATACAGTACATACATTTTTAATAGAGGGACAGAAAGCTCTCAGACTAAATCTGAAATATCTTAAACTGTGTTCTAGGGATGGGCAACGATTAATCGCATCCAAAATAAAAGTTTGTGTTTACATGATATATGTGTGTGTGGTGTGTATAATTATTTTGTATATATAAATACTAACACATGCATGTATATATTTAAGAAAAATGTGTTCTTAAAGTCCCTGTAAAGGCAATTCTACAAAAAAGTTCTAAACACATTATAAATGTTACATATCTATTGCTAAAACATATTACAAAGTCTGTGAACTGTGAAGTACTGAAATGTGGAGTTAAACAGTTTTTCACCATTGCAATTTTACGGATTAATTGGGCGGGGCTAAAACATGGCTCCGTGACGCACTGGAACCCATGAGCTGCTGGACACCCCCCTATTTGATGACGCACAGAGTCTGATCTCCCCCTCTCCACACACACGTCACTCCCCGAGCACATTCGCATTCACCGCTCAATCGCGAGTGACTGTCAGTACTATTAGTTACTACAGCTGAGCCTACAGTTTTCTAGCTAGCTATGCCTTCGACACTGACATGCATGGGCTACTACCTGGATGCGATCATGTACAAAACAGATCGGTATCTTCATTTAAATTCCCCTTAAAACGATCACATCAAGAAGAGGTTTTTAGAGAGCCTATAGCACTACCTTGATGAAGAGCTGAGGATCACCGCCAACACCTGCCTCTGTAGAGATCGTTTTACACTAGATCGTTTTATAAACTTTCCTCAGAGACAACTTGGATTCACTGATAATTCACTGATAATCCGCTGTTACTGGTGAACGTGGCCGAAACGACGATCTCCCGCCTCAGTGTTCATCCTCCCGTCTCCAAAATCTAATCAGCTAATATCACCGTCAACAGCTTTCCCGTGAGTGGGCGTGGTTTCAGTGCAGCCAGCGGACACGCCCCCAGCATTTGAGAGCAGAGAATCTGCTCATTTTTTCATGATTTTGATTGCTTATTTTATGTACTTCCCTGCTTTTTTTATCATTCAAATTGGCTAATAACACATTTTTCTGTGGTATGACAGACTCAGAACACATACTTAATTTTGACTTTACAGGGACTTTAATATATCAAATATTTATACATAATATTAATTACATATAAATATATATATGCAAATATTTCTTAAATATATACTTGCATGTGTGTGTATTTATATATACAAAATAATTATACACACGCATATATTAAATAAACACAAACTTTTATTTTGGATGCGATTAATCGCGATTAATCGTTGCCCATCCCTACTGTGTTCTGAAGATGATCGGAGGTCTTATGGGCTTGGGACAACATGAGGGTGAGTCATTAATGACATAATTTTCATTTTTGGGTGAACTAACCCTTTTAGGGATTAGAGATGCAAGCAGTTTGGTCACTCTCGCATTTTAAGAGACGCACACTGCCATCTGGAGGCCTCGTTGAGTATTGATGTTATAAGTAATAAAGTCCATATTACACACACATATACTACAGGTCTTATTCTGAATACTGCCCCAAACACATTAAGGAAAAAGCACAAAGGAAACCAGCCATAATTGCTCTCTATTTAAAAAAAATAATTCAGTGTTCCAAACATGAACTCATGAAATGTTTGGGGAAAAAAATAACTTTACATACTCCGTCACACACACTTACTTGAGTTCATTCTCTAGCGCTGTGACTCTGGATTGCAGGGCATCCTTCTGTTCCTGCTGCTCCTCCATGTCTCTGATGGCCTTCCTCCTCAATCCCTCCAGTCGCTCTGCCTCGGCCTCTCCCTCATCCACCTGCCGCTTCAGAGCCTTCACACGTAGAGTCAGCTGCAGGACCACACATGCATTAAACATACATTCCACAGGTCTCTCAACCAAATACACAGATCACATGGTGTAGAAGAAGACGCACTACTCTGTGTACATTTAAAGTGTGTATGATTCACCTGGTCCCTCTGTTCCGTGTGCTGCTGTCTTTCCTCATCCAGGGTGATGTTCAGCTCTTTTAGTTTCCTCTCCAACCGTCGCTGAGAGGACACTACAGAATTCTTCTCTCTGAAAAAACACAATTATGCGCTTGTACCTCAGGATGTGCTGAATCTGTAGTCTATTGAGTTTTCTTATACTTAAGATTCTTCAGGTGCTGTGGCTTGATGATTTTGTTAACTTTTTGTTAATTTAATAATAAAAAATCCTTGTGCATATACAAACACTTTTTTGTATACAAATGCTAGTAAAAATATTGGCAGGGCAAATTAAAATCTGACCAAATAACAAATAAACCTCCTCACCATTCCCATAATGTAATTTACATAATGTAGTCAAATTTAATTTAATGAATTCACTTAAAGTAGAAGATTTCGTGAACCACTTTACGAACTGCAATATCTGCGGCCTGTGTATTTTCTAGCAGCTTAGATTGATTAAAGAGGAGTGCTTTTCTCTAGCATTCTGTAGTGCTTTGTGGATAATGTAATTGTTTCAGCCACTTCATGGTAGTGGTTTAAGAACTTTTATTTACCTCTCCTCAGTGCGCAGTCTCTCCTCGAGTTCCTGGATTTTGCTCTCCAGCTGAGACACGCCAGTTGAGGAACGTGACTGGCCCTCCATCTCAGTTACGCGAGACTTATACTCCTTTATCTGAAAGATATGCAGATTAGATGAAATCCTGTGGCCAATCTGAATCAATGCATTTTTCTCTTCACTTGTTTAACTGTACAGTCTTATCACACTTGTTACCATAGATAATGCAGTATACACTACGACATATAAATCTACTATAGTGTTGGATGGTCACAGTGCGTACCTGTCTCTCAAGAGCATTTTTGTCCAGCTCCAGATCTTGTTTGGAGGACCGTTCTTGCATGAGCTCTGCACGCAGCTGTTCAATCTACACAAGGCACCATATTTACATTAAAGAATTGAATTAACTTTTTCTTAGATAACACTTTATGAATAATTTAATATGGCACTAATGAGCCCTGATGTCCACACATTATAACAGTGTATGTATACCTGATCTCTGCTCCTGGTGATTCTTTCTGTCAGCATCTCCGCACTGTTCTTCTCCTCATCTAACTCAAGCTCTAAATGCTTGATTTTATCCTGCAGGTGGAGACAAACATAGCATACAGTGAGGAGAGAGTTACACCACCACATTATAATCTCTAAGACAACAAATGTGGAAACCTCCAAGCTGCGGATTTCTCGAGATCGGTCGTTTTGTGTGCTACGCTGAGTCTCCATCTCACTCTCCAGATGCTTGAGGCGATTGCTGAGCAGCTCTTTATCTAATAAAGCATTGTCTCGTTCCTCATAACTTGAGAACAGCTCCTTCTTTTGACGGGCCAACTAGAAACAAACAAAATTGAATCACTACAAATTGTTGACTTATTAATTTGCTTAGCCAAATTCAAAACAAAAGTAGGAATATTTGTAAGAGGGCAGTGTGGCACCTCCTCCTGTAGGGAATGAATGGTGCTCTGAGCTCTCTCCAGCTCACTGAGCTTCTCTTTGGTGTTTTTATGCGAGTCCTGCTGCTCTTTCCTCCACTTCTCTCTTTGCTCATCCAGCTGAGCCTGCAGGAGCCGCACCTCCTCACGGGACGCAGCAGACAAGCGTTCCATCTGACAAAAAGAAGCGAGAGAGGGGCAGGAGGATGCAAAAGAGGGAGATTAAAAAAGACAAAGTAAAGGACAGACTAATAATAAAAATGTAAAATGACACAAGACTGAGTCAAATTTGTGTTGATAAGCTCATACCTCTTTATTGAGTTTGTCTAGTGCTCTATCCTGCTGCCTCCTCTGATCATCGAGCTGCGCGTTCTCCTTGCGGACCGCGTCTCTGTCCTTCTCCTTCTCTTCCATATTCCGAGCCAGCTCGTCCCTCTCCAGGCCCAGCCTGGAGTTCTCGCGCCTGGACTCTTCCAGCTGCTGCCTCAGTTTCCTGGTCTCCTCCTGTTGCTCCTGCTCAGCTTCAATACTCTGAGACATGCGCTCCTGCAGCTGAGACTACAGACACAGACGGTTAAACACGTCAGAGAAAAAGAGGGCGAACAGATGAGCGGATTAAGTAATGTGTGTGTTTTAATGCATGACAATCAACTGGGGATGTCAAAAGTGACAAATAGGATTTCGAAAACACAAATTATGGTGCGAGTTTTCAACCATTAACTGATGAAAACAGATTGTTATAGTCTGAGTGGGAGGGAAGGTGTATCATTATATAACCATGGCTATCAACATTAATGCAGATTCATTAATGTAACTCCTTTTTTATTTCAAAACTCTCTCAATCCACATTAGCATTTTCCTCTCCCATCCAGAAAAGTTGAATAATGCAAGTCTTTATAAACTATCTTCTTATTAAACTGTCTGTACACACTGTCTGTAAACTCATTACATTCGATTATCATGAAAACAAATCTCGGAGAACGATCGACTAGGTACCAATGTGTTTTTAAGACCAAAGGTTCATTTTGCGCCGCAGTTGTCCTTAAATGTGTGTTCTAACCTCCAGGCGTGTGAGCTTCTCCTTCATACGCGTGTTGGTTTCCTCGAGCTCCTTGTGCTCATGTGTCAGATTGTTTGCTTGGGTTTGAGCAGAGCTGAGTTTGTCTCTCTCTGCCTGCAGCTCTTCTTCAGCTGAGAGCAGCTGACTGCGCAGTCGGCCCACCTCCTCTCGCATGTCACTCAACTCCCCGCGCAAAGCCTCCACCAATGAGGGTTCAGCTAGCTGCCGGGGGTTTATAAAAATCAGAAGTAAAACACAAGAGGAGGACAACTGTTATTAGGTCATACCAATTTTAGCCATACTGTACCTGTTTGGCCCTCTCATGAGCTTTTGTGAGCTCTTCCTTATCTCTGCGTGACTGGTCCTTCAGCCTGTCAATTTCATATTTCTGCTCTGCTTCAAGCTCCTGTTTGCTCTTCTTTAATAAAACGATTTCCATTGTCTTCTTGTCGAGATCTGTTTTTAATTTATTCATATCTGCCTGGGCCTTCTGCAGGTCAGCTTGAGAACGTTCAAGTTCCTATGAAAATAAAAATAGTACTTTAAGAAAACGTTTATTCATTTAACATTCATGAGCAGATGAGAGTGAACTGTATGTACCTGACTGACTGTCTGTGTCTGTTTGGGATCTGGTAACTGCTGTTTCATTGTGCTGACTTTCTCCTGCAGATCTTTCAGCTCCTCTTCAAACTCCTCTTTCTCCAGACGAGACTGGAGTAACCTAACATACACGCACATATACACACATAGTATAAACATACACAAACAAAAACATCAAAAAATATAAACTGAGTGATTAATAACAAATATGTACATATTCTGCAGTGTATAGCAACTATTGAACAGCCCATGATGACTTCTTATAACATGACATAGCTCCTCATATTTCCTGATAATGGTAATTTGGATGGACAAAGTATTGATTAAGTGTCAAGATCCATAATAATGTGATTAAATATTATAAAAGCAATGTTCCCTAAGTGCACATTTTATTAGTCTCAATTAATGGTGCCATCTGGGTTTGTTAATGGCAAACCATTTAAAGATGGAGAAATTAGCTTAGTGTCTTTAAATTTGCAGATTAGCAGTGTCTTTTCTGAATCAAAGAAATGTGGTGATGTAGTTGCACGTTACTATATGTACTTACTATAGTAATAACAGTAAATTATGCACAATTACAAATAACTTACCCTAAACCTAACCGTAACTCTTTAGTAAGTACATGTAGTCAATTTGTATTACTCAGTAGTTATTTGAGTAAGTACAATGTAACTACATCACCTTAACCAAAAAATGTAATAAGCAGAAGGATTTGGGAGGATGAACTGGTGACGTAACAGGGTAATCAGAATTACAATCGTAATTAAGTAAGCTAGTTCTTCTGAATTAAGTAAGGATTTAATGTTTTTGAATTGTGATTTGGTACACTTAAAAAATATCACACAAAAGCATTTATCCAATGTATTTTTAAATCAATTGTTTAAAATTATGGTTGTGATCTAAGACTCTACAAAGCAGACTTATAAATACTAATAGTTGCAATCATATCTACAAATAAATCTAGATTTTTGTCTCAGCTACTCTGAGAGTGCATCTCACGCTTTAGGTTGAACCAGTTGTCCACTGCACCGACAAAAAGTGTAAAATGAAAAAAGGGAGACAAAAACATATTAACAAAAGAATAATGTAAACTAATTAAATTATGCCAAAAAACGAATCAGTGTAAGTGTGACTCACTCTTGTTTGGTGTTACGTAGCTCGTCTCTACTGGACTGGAACTGCTCTCTCCAATGGTTTCCCTCATCTCTGCTCTCTTCCAATTGCTGCTGAAGAGACCTTACCGTAGAGTTCACACGGTGACGCTCAGCTTCAATAGTTGCCTGAGACTAAGGCACAGAGATATAGTTGCATGATTCCTACAAAGTGCTTCAAGTTTTAACATTGCTCCTTATATTTTATATTATAGGTGTTCACCAGGGTTCTGATTTCTTTGTACATTTCGCAGACCCTTGGATGTGTACCTGTGAAACCTGCTCCATGCTTGCTCGTAGTCGCTCCATGTCTTGGCTGTACTGCTCTCTGAGAGCTTCTATCTCCTTGTCATGTGAGGAGACCTCATCTTTCAGTGCCCCCTTTAAAGCAGTCAGCTCCCTCTCTCTCTGCCTCAGAATGTCCTCCTGCTTCTGACGCAGCGCTGCAGCTTCAGCCAAATCAGCTCTCACTGCCATCAACTCCTGTACACACAAATCATAACTTTTTATTAAACTCAATACCATCATAGTGACATAATTTTACTGCTAGTACTTTGTCAGCAGCCTAATGTGTACATTATGAAACATTTATAAGGGTTTTCACAGGTTTCAAAAACATAAACACTTATCACCTGTCACTGTCCCCAAAAGCAAAAAAGTTGATTCGTCATCAAAGAACATTTTAGTCTCAGTCTGGGGTGTATGTGCATTTGTGTCAGTGTGATTACCATATGCATAGTGTCAGCTTGAGCTTTGTTGTCTGTCTCTCTTCTCAGCTCCTCCTGTAGTCCTGCCAGCTGATCCTCCACCTCTCTAACATGAGACTCTGCATTCTCTCTGTCCATTCGCAACTGAGTTAGCCTGAGAGAGAGATAAGCACACAAACACAACATAACAACTATACCTTATATCCTACATAATCTGCAGATGTGGGAATATCCATGTTGGTTAATCTTACTCTGAATGTATTTGGTGCAGCTCTGTGTTCTTCCTTCCCAGCTGTTCCTGCAGTAGTACGTTTTCATCCAGACATTTCTCAAGCTCCTCCTTTAAGTCATCAGGTCTGCTCACCTGAAATTCAAGTGACAATGGTTCTATGGTTGTGCTCATAATATATAAGTTTTTTTTTTAATATGTTTACTTTCCCCTTTTGAAAACTTAAAGATATTCAAGAGAATAAGATATTTAAAAAATAAAATGAGATCATAATTATTTTGTTGTATTTATGTTTATTATGTTTTCCGCATCCGCATGCAGTGTGGAAGCTCTAGTCTAACCTGTTAAAGTAGTTCACTTTAACCCCTTAACTGTCACCGTCCCGGTACCGGGACGCCTAACTTTACTTCACTATATTTCTATTAAATCCTAATTTAATTATGACAAATTATATATTTTTGGAAAGGTCTAAGACTTCTAATTAAATATTCGACCCCTGTTTTGTGTTAAAAAATTATGTAGGAAGAGTAATTAATGAATTTATGACAAGAGTGCACCTAAAAAAATCTGCATCATAACAGGAGATTTGACCTTTGTCACAAAAAGTTGATGCACCCACTTTTAATCATTGAAACTTCTGTTTTTATGCTAAAAGTTCATGATAAAACATATAATCTAGTATTTTTCAATAAAAAATAAAAATTATAGTATAAAATTATCCTCTAAAAATTATAATATATATGTATATATTATCCTCTAAAATATAATAATATTTTTATCGCCTTTTTTTATTATATCACATATTTTAGTAGTTATCATAAATTAGGTATCATTTGAAAGCTTATAAACTCAGAATTCATCCTGTGAAAACCATTCATAATTGAACGTTGCGTTACCATAGAAATGGTACTTATTTTATGAGGCTCCTCCCCTTTTGGACATCCTTATATTCATAATTTATGATCAAAACCTTTTCTAATCTTGACAAAACACATATTGTCAGAAAGGTCTGAGTCTCAAGGTTCCAAATTTGTGACAAAATTGATATTTGGACAGAAATGTATTAATTTATTAAGGCAGAATGTACACAACTAAATTCAATGGAATTCAATGGCACCGGTGGCTATTTTGGTACTACGCCTAAACAAAATCTCATGGGAACTTCAATTTTTGTGATATCAACTTCAAATTTGGAACACAACTTGGTTAGATTTATGGCTTTGATTTTATAGTAATTTTAGAGTAAAAATATTTTGTAAAATATATATTTTATATAAAATAAAAAATATATAGTACAGTATATTTGATTTACTGTGAATTAAAACTTCCATAACTTTTTCATACTTTCATTTTTTGAAGTGTTTTCACTTCAGTAATAATCTGCTGAGTGTTTTCTTTAAAACAAGACCAAACTTAGGTATATATTCCAAGGCATTCTTGAATTACAACCATTTAAGTGTGAATAGAGCATTTAACCCCCATTCTCAAAAAGGGGGGGTGACAGTTAAGGGGTTAAAAAACTTTAAAAAACTTTTGCTGATAATTTACTCACCCACAAGGTTTTTGATGAAACTGTAAACTGTTCAAAGGGCTTTAAACGATTCCAGACGATGAATCATTTTCATCGTCTGATGATTCATTTTGATGAACGAGTTCGAACAGGAGAGTCACGAACGCGCATCACAGAAAGGAGCAAGTCGACCATTTGAGCTTATAAAACTTAAACTTTTTTTTTTTTCTTTTTTTTAAATGAGCGATCGTTTCGCTTGATAAGAACCTTATTTATCGTCTGGAATCATTTAAAGCCCTTTTTAGTTTGCACTGAAACTGACTTTTGGACCTTGAACCGTTTGGTTACCAGTGAAGTCCATTATATGGAGAAAAATCCTGGAATGTTTTCATCAAAAACATTAATTTCTTTTCGACTGAAGAAAGAATGACATGGATATCTTGGATTACATGGGGGTGAGTATCAGCATAAGTTTTTTATTTAAAGTGAACTACTCCTTTAACATGGGTGTGAAAAAAAATATGCAGTGCAAACGGAGGTATGTGTGCAACAGGCGTTAATGACTATTGCTTGCAGTTTTATCAATGTTTATGACAACCAATATGGTCTGAGCCACTGTGGGGAAAAATGTAAATGTGCAAAGTTTGCAGGACCTAGAACATACCATGACAACACATATAATTCAGAATGTAATAAATAAAATAATGAATCGTTTAACATACATTTATGAGCAGATCTCAATTCAAAGATACTGTATCTAGACTGTCTATATATACTAAGATCTCTGACAGGGCAGGAAAACAGTGCATGATGATTGTAAAGTGACATCAAGTGTTTCCATTGTTTTACCCACTCCATGCAGTCCGTCAGAGGCTAACAGGACTAACCAGGACAGTCATGTGCGTCAAAACGTGCATGTTTTTCATGTAAACAAGGCATTATCAGATTAGCCTAAAACACTATAATTCAAGTCGCTATGATAGTATCTAGACGACAAAGTAGTCATTAGTGGTTTGCTACCCCGTTGAGGCAAAATAGACATAATCCTGTGTAAAGTTCACTATTCAAAGTAATTGCTTACCAAAAAAAACAAACAAAAAAAACCAGTCCTTTGCTTTTAAGAAATTATTACTTCACAAGTGAAGTGTTTGAGATTTCTACATTACAAAATGCTCCCAAAAGCTCAGCATTCCAGACAAAGACAATTATGAATAATATTATACATACATATGATGTTTTATCACATAAGTCACAGGCCTTTGGGTCATTGTTACACTGAATTACTAGTGATATTCTATTTTAAAATAAAATAGGAAAATATCTTTGTAAACATTAAGCACATTATGCAAGTTTAGAAGTTCTGTAACGTCCAGGTATTTTCGATTTGCTGTGCCACTTTTAAAATTCTCATAATTATCTTGAGCTCAGTTGCTCAGAAACTCGATTAAACTCGATTAACATGATGTTAACTTGTTCCTGGCAGCAAAAATCAGACAAATCCATCAGGCATCTTGGTTCTCTCTCTATGTCAGGTAATTATACTGAGGCTAAATGGTCCACTGTTTGCCTCCGAAAGTAACTCTCGTTCGTGCCTTGCATTTCAAACATAAACTTAGGGTTTACTGAAATGTTAAAATATAAAATTGACAGGGATATTCAATTGCAATCTTTTTAAGTGCTTATAATTTCTGATGGTATATTATTGGGATTTATAAATTTATATTAGATCAGACTGTCAGACTTGTGTGTCCATTAGTAGAAAATTGAGTTTGTGTGTAGATGATGGCAGAGGAAAAGATTTCTCACTCCTCTTACTCTAAACTGGGCTCAGCTGTTGTAAGTGAGGTGGGATCTGCTTTCAATTCATTACAGCTTAGCAAAAGATGCCAACACCTAAAAAGCCATCAAATGTAATGCCCATTTTAGCAATGCCTGTCTGAGTACCGAACACAGAGCCAACTGAGCCTACCTTCACAGCCAGACAGTGTTTTATCACTAGAGTAAATCACCTCTCACTGCTGACACATGTTTACGATAGCTTTTTAAAAATGGCAGATTTATTCGCAGCTGGGTTTAGTCAAAGTCAAATGACTCAATGGTTATCTTGGTTACACCCTGGGCAGCTATTTTTTTAAGTAAATAATACAAGTGTATTTTATATGTACTTGATTCGAGAATGGCGGCAATATACAAAACTGTCTGTCAAGATTATTTCTCAATAACAGCTCATACTTCACTAAAAGTGTGCATTAAAAAAGCCAACTGGCTCAAAGGGCAAGACTTGTGCACAAATTACACATAGCCTCTGGTTTAATATACCTGAACTGCCTTTTACGATATAAGTAATTTTATATCCTGTACAGAACATTGTCTTTTTTGTTTGTTTTATCATGAATTGTGATTCAGTTCACCTGAAATAGTTTTGGGAGCAGATGTTAAGCTTTGAGCTAAACTGGTTGTGTCATGGTGGTGGAAGCACCCTAAATAGAAGTCATTCATTAGTTTTAAATGTAGGGTATGTGATCAGGTGTTCAAACTCAGAGTGAACAAATAGCAATGTTTAAAATTTGATTAACTAAGATACACTGTACCTTCAGGCCTTGAATCTTATTACAGATGACTCGAACTCTGTGCTTAATGGAAGCATCTCCCTCTGTACTCCTGAGGAATTAGGAGAAACAAAATCTTACTAATGACATTCAGACTGTATATATTGTTTGCAAATCGGAACAATGGTTTACCCCTGACGTAGAACATCGTATATTATTTGCTGTATCTGATCTTCGGTTGAGAACTCTGACCCTGAACTTTGACCCTGGTCCATCAACAGGTCAGGGGTTATCTAAATGGAGATTACGGTCTATTAAACATCAAACACAACCCACACAAATAAGTGCAAAACACAACAGTCTAAGGAGTGGGTTACAATTGTTACATCTTTGAGAGTAGTAACACTTTCTCCGCTGAAACTAACAAGCTACATTAAGCTAAAAGACATTCAATTCCAGAGAGAACAGAGTATCAGGTTGAAGAATTGCTTTACTGTAACCTATTCAAATTACACCGTTCCAAAATCCTGACAGCCTTTTAAGGAATCTGAGGAGCACTTCCAAATGCAAAGGCTGATCCAAAGTCTAGATCAAAAAAATGCTAAAATAAAATATAGAGCACACTTTTAATAAACCTCAATATATTTCACCCATCATTTACATGTGCATCAACTGGAGCAGATGAAGAGACAGCCATGACCTTGGCGACAGAACCAGAACCACGTCCCAGGCTGCTGTAGGTAGAAGCAGGGGAGGAAGACAGTGGTGAAGAGTATGTGTTTGAAACGAGAGGTGAAACAGGTAATGGTGAGGTTGAGGTGGGTCTGTTGTCTGCATTTATGATGGGATAGCGCCCCCTGGTAGTGGTTCCAGTTTTATCCGCCTGTGCAGCAGAGCCCCCGTCGAACCTGTCGACGAGTCTGTGAGGAGGAGTCTGACGAATGGAGCTCTGAGCTGATTGGCTGAGAGTTTGCTGGTCATGTGGAGACATTTCAATTGATTCGGATGAGGTGTAATGACTGCCTCCGGCTCTCCCTCTTCCCAAAGTGCCATTCAGCCCTGTCTGGTAGGAGCCACCCCACTGATTTCTCTCCATCCTTTCTAAAGGCCGCGCCCTCTCTGGTCCCATACCAACACCTCCATCCAGGTTGCCGTAGCTACCAGAGCGTCCATCACCAAGCGGCCGTCGGAGTTGATCTGTAAAGTCTTCGCTGCTGTTTTCTCTTTCCAACAGGGAGCCGTGAGACTGAGCCCGGCGCAGTTGGGTATACTCTCCAGAAGAGAAATACGGCCCCTGGATTACCCCATCCTCTCTCCTCCTAACACAGACACAATCAGCAAAATACAAAGATACAGATTTAAAGTTTGTTTAAAAATATAAGCACTGCCATTTCTGTTGTATATGTGAAACAATAAACAGCAAACTTGGTGGCACTAGTGCCACAGGTCTCAAAAGTTAGTCTAGAGTACTGAAAGATATTATCAACTACAGTGTAAAACTACTATGTATTATCCATTTGTATTATGCCAAGACAACTTTTAATTAACTCCTCAGATAAACCCAGCCTTATTTAAAGTTGTATATAATATGTATTATATACAGGACATTCACGAAAAGCAACATAAATCTATAGCAAAATTGCCTGATTATTTATTTAATCACAAAATGTAACTACTGTATATTATTGCCCAACTCTTTAAATAAAGTTGGATATACCGGTATAAGCATGTCCAACTTTATCTGCATACACACAATATTCTCTCATTGGGAATCTCTCATGCTTGTATCATCTCGATCAATGTTAACTATATTATTAGCCATTTTATCAAGAAAGATAAACATATATAGGCAACAAATTTTAAGATCAGAGGGTTTTTAAGATATAATGAAAAATCAACAAATGTCACATTTAATAAAAAAAAAATGATTAGGAGCATACCTAGGCAGGCTGCTGTAGGCAGGTGTTTGGGTTCTTAACTGTACTCCATATGAATCTCCTTTTTCTCCATCTTTCAGCACAACGTAGGGCTGCCCACCGATGCCCTGCACCCTCACTGCTACTCCATAGCGAGACTGTTTTTTGGGTCCCTCTTTTCGAGGCTGCCCACTCACCCCCCCTCCGGTGTCTTGCAGGTCATTTATAAAGCGAATCTGTACCCCATAGTCCACGGGGGTCTTCCTACCTGAGACAGGAGCGGACATCCTAAAGGTGAGACGAAAATTATATTAAGAAAATGTACAGTCAATGTACAGTATATCACACAATGCACAATGTCAAAGTGTACTTGTCCCGTGACTCTCAAATACTCAAAAATAACTATTTTCCCCCTCTCATTCTCTGCAAAAACAAAAAAAAATCTTAAATAAGATTGTGGGATAAATAACCCACAACCATCTCTATCTGAATCACAACAGTACATCGAAATAAAATATATATATATATATATATATATGTGTGTGTGTGTGTGTGTTTTCCATCACAGCGCTGCATGTTCTTTCTCCAATACCAGTTAAGTCACTTTCCCCTTTACATACACTCCTCTCGTCAATCCTAAAAAAAGCACTTCAATTCAACAAGGATACTATGGTGAATTCCCTTTTCTTAGTGGTGGATCTTGGTTCAGGATTGGGGGCAGTGTCCTACTTTACTTATTTTATAATATGTGATCTTAACATTTTTTCTAGCATTTAGTTCTGAATGCAAAATGTTTTGCTTATACACAAATGCCTTTACTAAACTAAAATATTAAATCTTATCAATATTTTAATATAAATGTAATAATCTGAGATTTCAATTTCAACTTGTTGGTGAAAAGTGGTGTTATACTCTATAATGAAGCCAAGTGGTTGGAGGGGGCTGAACAGGAAAATCCTTTTTGTTTATGGAATGTGCACTTCATACAATGAAACCAGGAACATGCATTAATATAATAAAGTAAATGGGTTCAATATCACATTGACTTCAACAACCTTGTAGACAACGATGGTCTGTCTTGAAATGTTTCAAGCCTGTGTTACTCTAAATGAAATTTTGAATGGGATTTTTACTACCAGAACCCTACTGTTGTGCTCTATTGAGATACAGACCGACACAGAAATGCAGACAATCCAATGAGGCCGGATTGAATTACACTCTCCTCAAAGCTGCCCATTACCTCTGACTCCTGGCAGAAAACCCAATGTCCTTCATTATTCATTAACCTGAACACACACGCACGTTTGTTTTTCACGATGGAGAAGTTCCATCATGGCTTTGGCTTTCTATCCTAAACCACACACCATTTTTATTTATTTATTTTTTTTATTTAGACCTACCATGTTACTACTTCTCATCAAAACCAAAGCTTCAGTATTCATGATGTAATGGAGAAGAAGACTGAAGGTGTGGCTGGTGTGATGGAATGAAAATAAATCTCCAAATAAGGAACATTAAAGCATGAAGGGTGTGACGGGGAACAAAGTGCATTCCCAGACGGTGGTAGCCTACATCTTTACCGTTTCTCTTTGTCTTTTTATTTTACTCTCACACTCATCGTCTTGTTCAGTAACAAACTACATCACTGCGATAAACTAAACAGACTGCAAACTACAAACACAGTCAGTCTGATCAGTACTACTGCTCCTCTTACGTGTGTGTGTGTGTGTGTGTGTGTGTGTGTGTGTGTGTGTGTGTGTGTGTGTGTGTGTGTGTGTGTCTGTTTGTGTGTGTTTGTGAGATAATCAGTGTAATAAATTGCATGATAAACCAGAATCAGGGATGTCCGCTCCTATGACTGGATCATGGGAAAAGCACTTTCCCATTTGCTACTCAGCAAATCAGATTCATAATTAACCTACAAAGATATTCCTTTTATTAAACTAACCAAAGGTTCAGTTAAAACAAACTAACAGTCAGCCTGAGATGAGTAAGTGTTAAGAAATACATTCACTATGTGACAGAAAGGAGCCTTCAAGTCTGCTATTACAATGTGAATACAATGAATGAGCTCATTATGTGTTTTTGTCATCAGAAAGCTTTTTGAGACGGCTGACGTGTCCATGTCAATGACTGAAAGCAGACACAAGAGAGCCAAGCTCAATACCGGAGACTCTTGTGCTGACAGATAAACAGGTGGAGGGGTTATACTGGTGTAGTGAGAAAGTGGCAGCAGCACTGATCATTTTTCATGATTCATTCATTATCTATGTTTACTGTGGTTGAGGTAGAATTTACAGTGACAATAATTAAATTGCAGCTCTCACACTTGGATAGGTGGAGTTTCCAAGACAATAGACTTTGAACGCCATAAAATAACTAAGAAGGACATGCTTCTTTATAGATAACAAGGTGGACATTGTTGTGAACAATGACAATTTATCCTGGGGGTCTAAACGAATTCTGAAAACAATTTGTGTGGCAGTCAAATATAATATGACAATAAATCTTTTAAATAAAAATTTTCACCATATTATACATATATTGTGTTATGAGCCTAACAGTAATGCTGGCACGCACTTTTATCAAAGTCCCTTTAAGACAAGCCAGTTCATTCTGCAGTCATATTAGCAAGCTATTCCAGTCATGCTTCAATATACACAAATACTGTTAACACTATACACAAAAGCCCAATTCGGAAGGTAATTGTTTCTCAAGGGGCCGTAAGGTATTTTGTAACATTTAAAGGGGTTAGCCAGTGATTTTATTGCCGTCCAAATTCAGAATATCAGTGTTTTTCTCAACCACCTGTATATAAAATGGCCGAATAAAACTACTGTTTTTTTGATAAACACCAAGGTCATGTGGTGAGAAAGAGCAGAAAATCAGATAAACATTCGAAAGGGCAGCAATACATTAAAAATATAAACCAAGCAGCTTTACGTTTACCTCATGTAAATAAGCGGCTGAATTAAATTACTTCCACTAATTTCTACTTTTTTAATCCATCATTTTGACATAAAATACAAGACCGAAAACTATTTTAACTATATTTCGTATATCTTCCATTTATCAATATTTTGAATTAGCTTTTATTTTTGTTTTATGTTTTTATTTGAACAATTCTGTTACATGATTTTCATTTTTTTATATTTGTTATTTATAATTTTTCTAATATTTTAATATTTATATTTAGTGTTTACTTTAATTTCAATTTGAGTCATTTTAGTATGTCCAACAAACTTATTTTATTTCAGTTAGTTGCTCATGCTGCAATTCAATTTTTCAGTTTACCTTTATCATTGAATATTTATTTTGTTTTATTTCAGCTTTGTCCCAATTAATATAAACTATTTTTAAGTTTTAGTTAAGAATAACAAAACCAATTTAACTCTCCTCAATCACTTTTGTATATCCACATCCACATGGTGACAGACAGAATATTTATTCTGTTTTGACAGTGATCTGGTCATTGGTCAAACATACAGTCAAATTCAGTCACGGTCTAAAACGATCCAATTCCTCTGTGTCAGTGTGTCAGTGGCCAGGCAGACAGAGGCACCATTTAGCCTCTCAGCAATGCATTATCTGATAGGCTGAATGAAGGGAGCCTGTGAGTGTGACAGAGAGGGAGTATGAGGACCCTCTTCCCATTATTACAGTGAAGTGGGGCAGAAAACAAGGGCAGCTATGCTGAGAAGAACACTGCTTCTCTATCACACAGGCTCGCTCCTGCTCTCATACACTGATCCAAATCAGACATGTCACTATTCCCTTCACAGGCAATAGCCGAGGGCATGCAGGCGTTTACATCCAGAACAAACACACTGGATTTAACAAAAGCAACAATGTAAATCAGCCAATTTGCTTTTTCTCTCTTCATAATGAAGCACTCTGAATTATATCTCTTCTATCTATTTCTCTTAATGATGATTTTATGATGACTTCTGCCTGTTTTAAATGTTTTTAACACTAAATCCAAACCTGACTCAACCTTGAATTCAGCAATGTTTCAAATTTCTTTTCAGGTATTGTATTTTTGTTTTATATTGCATTTAATTGTTTTCACTATTCTATGATTTATGTTTGCAGCAATTCCTCAATTTCCCTGAGATTATTCAAGTATATACCTGCATTCTTAGTTTTGCTTTGCCTTTTTCAATGACGAATAAATCTGCTTAAACAGACAGACAGATATCTCCTTTACACGCAGGCGCAGAACACAACAAGATGACCCAAGATTAAACTAACTAACCCAGGATTAAAAATGACCCATTGCATCTCATCTACCCCCAGCATCCTTTATTTCACCCATCCTTTCATAGGCTGATATGCAGCTCATTTCAGTGGCATACTCGCTTGATTCATTACCCCTTTATGACCACATAATTTGTGCCACAGAATTCCACAGAAATCACAGCAGACTGTCAATTGAATTCAAGTGCTTGAACACAAAGTTTTGTCTCCATAGCTCATTCAAGCAGAAATGCGTCAAATATGATCACTTACGCATATACAGAGACACATTCTGTAATACCTTTCACGTCTCATTCAAATGCTCTGGGAGATAAAGCCAAAACAAACATTCCAATTTAAAAGTCTTAATGAACCACACACTTAAAAATAAATAATTAAATAAATAAATAATTAAAAACTCACACAGGCCCTCCAGGGACATGTGCCCACAGCTCTGAGTCTGCAACCTCTTGTTCTCCCATTAAATTGAATCTTGAATCTTAAATTGAATCGAGACTCTCAGATGTGGAACGTCTAATTAAATTAGGAGGGAACTGAGGCAGTAGGACTCAGAAGACATCTGCGCAGTTTGTATTATCTACGTTGACTATCATAAACCAAAGTCTATGCCTCTACAATCAGTGCATCCGAGTCATGCGTTACATTTTTCCTCACACATACGTAACAGCATCAGACTTTATATCAATATGAAATGTGACTTCAGTCACCTCTTGTCTGGTCAGACCTCATTTAATCTAGCATGCTTAGCATTCCCAGAGTCCTTTAGGTTGTTAACACCAATCTCTTAAAGCATACTTCATACATTAACACTTTTGAAGTGGCATATTAAAAGTATGACAATGAGAAACACAACCTAAAGGCTGAATCTCTGGTCTAGTTTCTATTCATTCACACAGAAAGGATAAACCAGTCACTGATATTCACTTTGGGGTGATTTTCCTTAAGAGAGGTGAGATATAGAGTTCATCTAGATAAGTCTGAATTAAAGAGTCGAGTTGCTAAGAATGCATCTGAGAAAGTGTAGCCTAAGCTTTCATCTTATTTTAAAGAGTCTGGTTTTAGTGCTCGACTCCCTTTTGCATTCTTTGTCTCCTGCCAAACTCCCTCTAAATCTTTCTTTTCCTTTCTACCCCCCTCCCTTCCTACACTTCAATCACTATTCTCGTTTCAAAGACAGACAAACAAGTAGTAGTTCTTCTGTCTGTCTATTCGATCTCACAGGCATGACTGACTCCAGTGTTGCCAAACACAAATCATATTCAAACAAACTCAACAATATAAAATTAAATCTTATCTAATGCTAGCATGTGCTCATGACTCCAGGTTTTTCAGCTTGCAAAAATAAAAGCAAGTTATGACTCTCAGCTGTGAATCACACTTGAAGATTAGCGTCTCATGTCAAGGATATGTAATGTTATGTTTGGCTCAGCATAAGTCATAGGTCAAGAACCAAGATAACGGTGTGATGAGGGGGTGCAAGAACAAAACGTTTTGGTTTTATGGTCTAATTATGTGCAAACAATGATTCAAATGAAAAGAAAGCATTTAATGCAATGCCGATGATTCCCAACCAGGATACATCCTTGGAAAGGGATGCTTGATTGGAAAGATTTATCTTTCTTAAACCTATAAAACATTACTACTTTATTGGAGTTCATAATAATACAATGTGCCGTTAGTTCTTTCTTGAAGTAATTAATCCAGAATTGTTGTTAAATAAATAACATACACAATGAAATACATGAAATACACAACTAAGCTCGTGTATCTCATTGGGGGGAAGCAACTTGGCGAGTTTTCTAACCCACAGGACTTTGATGAACATGATGAAAAATGATAAAAACAGATGTTTTCTTTCATGTGACATAGTCTGTTAAATTAATTACTGAAAAAGAAAAAAAGTATGGAAGTTTTCGATTGGACGTTGGCAGATTGACTGAAAGTCAAAAATTGAATTACGACGGTCAAAAATGTTGAAAAATAAGCACAGATGAATTCACAATAACATTCATTTGGAAAATACATTTTCATTTTATTTACCATTGCAATCTTATTTTATCCCAACTTTAAAAGTTGAATCATGAGTATAATCATTTTAATAATGATGATGATGCTAAATTCTATGGATTAGATAAAAGTAACAAATTTATATTTGAGACTTATAACAAAACACGCAGTAAATCACTAATGTAAATGACATCAAATTAGTAGTAGACTAAAGTGTTTGTGTCCTACTGCTCATCTGGGCCTATAAAATTCTTCTGCACTGAGTCACTGGTTTCAAATCTCGAAAAGTCATAGAGTCTGACTGGATAACATCACGGCACTATGTTACCAAAAGACTAAGAACTTTGAATCAAATAAAAACGAGAGCAATACCTTAACTAACTAAAAGGATGGTTGTTCTTTCAAGTCTTTTTGAACAGCACACGTTTGACAGCCTAACGTTGTTTGACAGAGAAACCTGATTGCTCACGGCAAGTTTGACACTGACTCGTTATTTATTTGAATACAAATTGGGCTACTCAAACAAGGCTTTGAGTGTTTAGCGGGCTTAAACAGTGGGCTGTGGTGAGGTAAACAATCACAATACTGTTAAAACAGGATTGTTTGCCACGTCAATACTTTCAATGGTTTGCTCCCAAAGCGAGAAGCGCAGGTGTTCACCTGGCGATGCACCTGCGCTTAGTGCGAAACTCAATGAGATATAAAGTCTCTCGAGGCGATGAGCGCTCATTTTCAGCGTAAACCAGTGGAAAATACTGTAAATAGCCTACGTGGGCTCGAAAATAATCCTTTGGACAGACATTAATCCAACTTCACAGAAGTAAACTCGAGAAGAACACGAAACAGGACAAAAACACAACTAAGCTGAACAGTATACGAGCGAGACAAGTGAGAAATTCCTAAAGGAAGAAAGTTCATCTCGAGAATTCGTTGGAGCATCTGGCGCGCGACAAACAAGCTCAGCAAGCATCAATGTCTAGTCACAGGCTAACTGGTTTAGCGGTGATAGCGAACAAAAATAACATTTATCCTACCTGATATTACGGCAAAGTTTATATTTCACTCTGCCTATTGTTCCTCTGTTACTTCCTGCTGTTCTTCTTCATGAGAGCTGATAAAGTAACAGTAAAAGACTTGTCTTTGAATATGACAGCCCTAACTACTAATCCCCAGGGAAAACATTGGCTAAAGACAACCTGTTACCTTCAGACCGATACTACTTGCCTCGCCCACTCTGCAAGTGGGGAATAATCTCATTGGCTGATAGTGGCGTCGTGGGTGGAACCCATGAAACAATTTCTGCTTCGATTATTGGTTAGGTTGTGTGTCAATCACAATAAAATTGGGAACGTAAATGTGTCTGTGGAAGTGGAACCGTGAAAAATTAATTCAGGTTATGATTTAGAGACACAAAAGTTCAGTTTTGTCACAAAATCGGCTCACTGTTTTACTGTAAGCTTATAGCTGCCTGTTTTGTTTCCATATGTAGCTAAATAGCCTAGTTGAAAGGGTTGTTTAGGCTAACAGTTAGCCTAAAGTGCGTGATCTCGTATACTAATGTATAAAATCTTACAAATAATAATCAAAAGTTTTACGTATTATAAAAAGATCTGTTTCTGTAAATAAAATATAAAAAAATAATAATTTTATCGCCGTTCGGAATTGAACAAAGTAGTAGCTCAGACTCTGCAATCATATTGAAAACAGAGCCAAAATAGTGCAACATGAGTAGCCTACTTACTAGGCTACTGTTGGTAGCCTAAAAAACTTGCGGGCACACACACACACACACACACACACACAACTTGCTACGTAGCCTGTGTCTGTGCTAGACGACTGTGACTAGTCACACTCAGGAAGCACTTGCATATTGTTGCAACATAGCTCTCCTGCTCTCCTAATTTGTAAGTCGCTTTGGATAAAAGCGTTGGCTAAATTATTAAATATAATTGTAGTTGGTCCACCGATGGGAGTAAATGTCCCTTGTGCTGTGTAGCCTATTATTGGCTAGAATTTATTCAGTTGCGTATGGATTTCCTTTTTTTCTATCGGTTTCAATAACTGGAAAAACAGGTCCAGTTGCTTCTCAATAAATTCAGCAAGACATTCCACGAGCTGGGTTAACTGACAGTGTTGATAAACACACCTGGTGATGATGATAGTCACGTGTGGGCAGAGGCAGTGCATGGGCAGCTTGGCTTCCCAGTAGCCTATTTAAAGTTTGAGTAGGCTAGTTTTACTTCCAGAACCGACATTAGGTCTATTTATTTAAATATAGGCTATAGGCTATAATAGACTATAATCCATGTTGACATATCAATGAATTTAGAATGTTTTATTAATTTAGCCAGTTGCCACTAGATGGAGGCAGTACAAATAACTTTAAGTTGCCCAAGTGTCTGTCCCATAAGTGACTTGGGCCAGTTACCCGGCATGAACTGCTGCCCCACTGTGGTAGTGGTGGTGCCTTGCACACACACACACACACACACACACACAAAAAAAAAATCCTGTCTGGTAGCCTGGCATTAAATCAAGAACATCAAATGGATAGGATTTGTTGTTGCCATTCGGTCATCATGCAATTTTGACTGAAAATATGCTACGTTTTGTTTTGTTTTTTTAGGATTGTTTAGCCTATTATTGGAATATGAAGCTTGGAAAAGGTTTTTGCACTTATGTGAACTCTCTCTCTCTCTCTCTCTCTCTCTCTCTCTCTCTCTCTCTCTCTCTCTCTCTCTCTCTCTCTCTCTCTCTCTCTCTCTCTCTCTCTCTCACACACTTACACACACACACAAATCAATACATTTTCCAAAATACAAAGCTACAAAGGTTAAACGTCCTGAAAAAACTATGCACAAACAAATTCTAACAGAAAGCTAATTTTTTGAGATATCAACCTTTTTTTTTTTTTTTACTTCTTTAATTATATGACAAGTGTCAGCCTATTTAAAAAGAGACCAAACTTAAAAGAATAGTTCACCTTGAAGTAAATTGTTGGTATGTTTTAGCTTACCTCAAGGGCATCCAAGAGGTGTCTTTGTATTTCCGCAGTAGACCTAGTTTAAATTTTGATATTTTTAGGTCAAACCGTTCTTGTCTGTCAGTCATATAATGCAGGTCTACCTCTTTGGCCTAAAAATATCAAAATTGAAACTACTGTGAAAACAAAGACACCTACAACTTGGATGTCCTTGGGGTAAGCTAAAACAAACCAAAAAATAATTTCAAAGTGAACTATCCCTTTAAGTCTTTTCTCCAAAGCATTCAAGCTACCCAGTTATGAAAAGTTAAACTTCATTAAGTTCAAGGTACATTTTCAGGTTCAAAAAGTGAAGATGAATTAGGCTACTGCAACATAGTCTAATTTAGTTACCATAAATCACCTAAATAAGAATATATCAAGTAAAATACATAATCAAATTAAAACAATCATTTTGATTGAGCCATATCCTACAATCATTTTATTGACATAAAAGTAAAAAAATTGGTCATTTTAAAACGACACCCCAATAGAGGGGTAATTTGAAAACCATTGCGAAGACTAGCGAATAGATTTGCTCAATGTGTCCAGTTATGTGTAACCTATGTAGTGGCAAATGTTAAATAGCCTAATTTTTTTCATTTAAAAAGAATACTCAGTCTTGATAAATAGCCATATTCACCAGAGTGAAGAGTGTAAATAAATCCCTGGGCAAATAAATGGAAACGTTAAATAAAATCAATAAACTATTTGTTGTGCACCAGAGTATGGTTTGCGTCCACAGGTGGGCAGCGCCCAGCAAATGAAAAATCCCCATTTAGGGGAACAGTAGTTGCAACCACCCCCACCCACAGCTGCAGCACAAGCGCACGTATACATGTACATCCCCTTCACTTCATTTAGACTGTCGCTTGGAGTGGATATACCGGGAATGGGATCTTCATCGAGAGCTAAGAAAAACTTTATTTTTTTCCGCGTTTATGCCCTTCAGAGACTCCTCTTTATCTTGCGGGAATAATTGGGAGCACACAAAAAACAAGACATTTTCCAATGTGAAGAATCGTAACTGAGTGTGTAAGAAGTTTCCTGAAAAGAAATACGAATGGGATAAATTCTGTGATCAAGATTATTAAAAGGGATTTAATATTCGGAACCTTTCCCAAAATCAATTTGACATATTTTCTAAATTAAATAAATTAAAAATAGCCTAGTTCTTGTTTAAAATAACAGCAACCTTGTCAATTGAACTGCGCATTAAAGTATTGTTGATTAAGGCAAAAATCCTTTATAGGGGCCATAGTGAGTGATATTTTAGAAGCAGTTGCGCGTGTGTATGGAGAGTAGCGCAGACACCTGTATTCGTCATGGCGAAGTGGTTTAAAGATTTCCCAACTAGTTTGAAGACTGGATCCGATCGGATCCGTTCTGCTTCGGAATCGGGAACCCAGTCCCGCCCGAAACCGGTTCTGACCGTTGGTACTGGTTCGAAGGGAAGTCTGCGTAAAAATTCGGGAGCGGAAAACGGTGGCGGCGGTGGCGGTGGTGTGGGTTCGCTGCTTCACGGGAGGAATCGTAAAAATTCGGCCATCGAGCTGGGACGAAACCACTCCAGCACCGGCTCGATGAAAGACGGGAAGATATGGGAAATTCTGATCCCTGGAAAAAGTAAGAAAAACACAAAAATGGAAGGGTTTGAAGACCATCGCACCCTGCGGACCACCAGTCTTGCTGATGCGTACATGAGCAGAATGATCAAGGTTAATGATCCAAAATCCAATGCAGGAGGATCATCCCCGGACAGCGAGAGGGCCAAATCACCAATCAGAACAGAAACGGTAAGTTTGACAATGAGCCAACACCACAATGTAAACTAACAATAAATAATAATAATATAGCCTAGCTAATAATAATATCATGTATTATTATTATTATTATATCTACCCCCTTAAATTGTTTTTTTTTTGCTCGTCTTAAGGTGGTTTTAGTGGGTTTTTTGGGACTGTTCTCTGGTGGCCAGCTGAAATAACTTAAGACCTGCTCAAAAACCAACTGAGATCAGCATCAGGCTGGTTTAGGGTGGGTTTTTCAGCTGGGATAAAGAAAGAATATCCCAGCAGGCCTCAGAGACAGAAGTTTTTTTTTTTTTTTTTGAATAACCTGCATGACATTCTCTAATTCCAGTCCCTCTGTTGACTGTGAGAACCAAACACACATCTTTGTTATGAAAATTGTGATCAGTATCTCTCTTCCAGCTCTTTGTTTAAGCAATATCTTCTTTTTCCCTCCCTCAGCCCCCTCCTCTCTATTTCGTGTCTTTCTTTCATCCGTCCTCACATCTTTCTTTTTCTTCCTATATTCTTTTTTCATTGAACTGCTTTATTATACGCAGACACAGTGGAGCTGAAAAGCAACAAACACAATGAGAGCCATTTCCTTGCCTTGTCTCTTTTCCTAGCCATGCACTCTGTCTTTGTGGGAAACACACTTTTGTGCTCACACACACACACACACACACCCTTGCTCACAAATACGCAAAGAATACAATGCATACATAACACAATGGCTCTATCCCATTCTTCCAGTCCCTGGTGAAAGCAGTGTTTGAAGAATTATGTCACCTGATACATAGGCTGTATCCTATCCCATTTACGGACATCCCCTCCAGCTACACTTTGAACAGCACAGAAATCAGAATCTCATGAGATCACACACACACACACACACACACACACACACACAAAACGTCCAGAGGGAGAATCTGAGAAAGAATGGGCCGGAGAATAAGATTAAATAAAGGGTTAGTTCACCCGAAAAAGAAAACTCTGTCATTAATAACTCATGTTGTTCCAAACCCGTAAGACTTCCGTTCATCTTCGGAACACAAATTAAAATAAAATTTAATGAAATCTGAGAGATTTCTGTCCGCTACAACTACCACTTTGATGCTTCAAAACGAATCCATACGAACTAAGCAGTCCAAATTTTCTGAAGACTTGATCGCTTTATATGATAATAATAATTGCTTTAAATGTGCAATACATTTTTTCCAGTTTTGACTGGGATCATGTTTATTTTTAACTGTCTCTACAAATAAACTTATAAATAAGAAACAGTTTTAACTATTGTAAAGCATCAGAGTGGAAGTTGTGTAGCTGTCGATGGAGGAATAAAAAGCTCTCAGATTTCATCAAAAAGATCTTCATTTGCGTTTCAAAGATGAACAAAAGACTTATGGGTTGGGAACAACGTGAGTAGTTAAATAACAGCATTTACATTATTCGGTGAACTGATTTTTTTATCAAGATGGAACAAAGAATTCCACCCAATAAGATGTAATTTAACTCCAGGTTTTGACTAAATGCCCTTTTTAGCTGGGTTTGCACTATTTCTGAAGTAGATCATTGCCAAATATGTTGGCATCATATTATTAAAGGACTATTCCAGGTTCAGGACAAGTTAAGCCCAATCAATAGCCCTTGTGGCATAATGTTGATTACCAGAAAAAAATTACTTCAACCTCCGCCTTTTCTTAAAAAAAGAATATATACAGTGAACGGTCCTTAAATGGTAAAAATAGAATTGTATGACCAAACAATAAGCATGTTAACATAATTTTAGTGTGGAAAAAAAACTCTTACTAACCTGTTCTATTGAGTTGTGTCCAATTTTACAAGTTCAAGTTCATTACCATGTCAATGTAATGCCAAAACACTAAAATTATGATAAAAATTAAGAAAACAACTTTGCAATAAAGTTTTAACATAATAAATTAAAGTCCTTCTCTGTATTTTAAGATTCATATTTCTGCTTTTAAATCCTGAGAAATGTACCTTTACTTTATTTGTCACTGTTGATTCCTGTTTTTTAAAGATAAAGAAGGGAGAGTCTATTTCCTTGTGATATGTAGTGCCACAAATTGCAATTTATATATATATATATATATATATATATATATATATATATATATATATATATATATATATATATATATATATTCTAAGAATGTTTTGCTAAAATACCATCAAGTTATGAAAAATAGTTTTGAGGCCGTTCTATTCTAGTATAGTCCTTAACATAAATCACTGATATCACTTTCTATTCTTCTTTTCTTCTCACTGTTATTAGATCATCCTGGAGGATTATGCTGTCCCATTTGATGCCGAGAAAACAAGGGAACAGAGAGAGACTGAAAGAGAGGGAGAGAATGATGGTTACATGGAACCTTATGATGCTCAGCTCATTATTACAGGTATCACTCAATTATTTACCTCTTCTCTCCTTTATTTCTCTTAAATGTATCTTAAATGTTTTATCAGTGTAATAAGCAGAATATCAGGGATTTTAAGAGTATGAAAAATCATAGCTCCCTCTCTCTCTCCCCTCGTTGGTGGTTTCCACGGTGACAGTGTTGTGCTGGGACAATGGGTGCAGTTTCCTCTTTCTGCTTCCTGTTTCCTGTCTGTGTTTCCTTTGCCCCATTCTATGGACAGGAAGTTGACCCCTGCCCCCCCCCCCCCTCAAAATGCCTGGCTATGTGAGAAAGACCCCCCAACACTCCCCTCTCCCCCCAATCACTTCCCAGAACTCAGGAAGTGGCCTGCTAAGCCAGCCAATCACAGACTCAGTCTGACTTTCCCCTGGTATGACCATTGTTTTCTCACACAATAGGCCAGACACAAAGTGACAGCAAAGAAACAGAGAGAGAGAGAGAGAGAGAGAGAGAGAGAGAGAGAGAGAGAGAGAGAGAGAGAGAGAGAGAGAGAGAGAGAGAGAGAGAGAGAGAGAGAGAGAGAGAGAAGAACGATGGAGCTTCAGGGATAGTTTTGTTGATGTTTGTTGAACTTTAAATCTTAAGGTATGAATAGATGCATTATAAGGTAGACAAATATAGAAAAAAAAATAATTTTAGACTAACTGAAAATGCAGTATGATACAGTTAAATCTGAGAATGATAGGAAATGCTATATATTTTATCCTTTTTTCTTCTTTTCCTCATAGTTTAAAAAGGCTTAGGAGATGGGTTTCTATTTTTTTTTATCAGATATGGTTTGTGTTGTGTAATACATTTTTTTTCATTTTCCTAATATAGTTTATCTGAATAATGAATAAAACATACTTTAATATTCAGTCTAATGGACAACGTAAACTTAGAACCATAGTTAGCTAATACACAAAAGCAAATGATTTCAACTCAACTTAAAGAAAAGACTTAGTGTAAGTAAAAATAGTGTAAGTTCTCTCATAAAATGTTTAGCTGCACATTTCTGCTTTTCTATTGGCCTCATGCCCTTCAATTATAAGGGCATAATCATAATTCTTTTTGGAATAACTCCCTATGCTCCCATAAAGTAGAAAATGTTCTATCAGCGCTGTATTTTTAAAAAAAAAACCTAAATGGTTCTATACAGAACCCTTTTTAAGGGTTAAAATTTAAGAACACTGTAACCAGGAAAAAGGTTCGATAATGGAACCTTTTGGTTTCATTCATTATCATTTGTTTTGTCCTTTCCGGATTAAATATTTCATATTATTGACAAACATCAAGACCCTAAAATGTATTTGAATGCATGTGAATGATCACAAAATTCAAGATATGGGGGTTAGAAAATGTATTAGGGCTGTCAAACGATTAATTGCGATTAATCGCATCCAAAATAAAAGTTTGTGTTTACATAATATATGTGGGTGCACTGTGTATAATTATTTTAAATATATATATACTTTGTATATATACACACACATGCTTGTATATATTTAAGAAACATTTTCATGTATATACTGTATAGATTTATATATAATTTATATGTAAATATAAATATTTTATATATAAATAATATTTTTTTCTTAAATATACATGCATGTGTGTGTATTTATATATATACAAAATAATTATACACAGTCCACCCACATATATTATGTAAACACAAACTTTTATTTTAAAAGAGATTAATTGCGATTAATCGTTTGACAGCCCTAAAATGTATATATTTATATAATTTTATGTAGTTAATCAATATCACACGAAGAGTGCCATTTCAGTTTTTCTCCTCCAAAAATCAGCATGATTAAAATGTGATATTAAGTTACTACAAGAGTTTAATAAAGAATAATTTAATTACAACTTCAAAATGTTGCAGAAAACGTAATGAATGAATAATAAAGAACTTTATTATTCTATAAAGAACCTTTGTGCTAAAAGGGTTCTTTCTTGTCATTATAGAACCTTTTTTAGCATAAAAGGCTCTTTGGAGTTGAGTAAAGAACCCTATGCTACATATATAGAACCCAATGAACCCTTTTTTCTAAGAGTGTATAATCTTTTAAAGGAGCGAACCTGTTACAGCATCATTTAGTTTGCTGCAGAGAGAACAGATTTATGACTTGACCTGCTATTTGTTGGTACAGATTCAACTTTGACTTGGTCATAATTTCCTGTGGTTTCACTCACATTTAAAGTGATCTCAAAACAAAGAATGGCTTCATAGACTAAGCTTCCAAATGCTCTTTCAACAGATATATGGTGATTTGTTAGGAAAGTGTAGAAAAACATTCACTCTATGTATAAAATGACTGGCAATAGTGCCATTACTAAAATTAGCCTACATATTACATGTGTAACTACTTTGAAGTTATTACTGTAAATAATTATTTTACAATAATTATTGCAATATTTAGGAAAAAAGATAGAGATAGAGAAAAAGTTCACAGCTTGTTCAACAACCTATAGCACAGACTATTTGTAAATGAAGCATCTGAATATACAGTATATTGATTTCTAGGGACAAATAAGGCCATCCCTTACCACTTTCTCAATAATAATACAGATGGAGAAAGTGGGCAGTCGTCACCTGCACACAGATGCAAATTCCATAACAGGATCTGCTATATTCATTTCAACAGTTAAATATGAGAATATGTGCTAAATTTGACACTAAAGGTTCAGTTACATTTACTGTTCTGCGAATGCTTGTGGGCGAAATCAAGTCATTTTGTTGGGAACCCATGTGTTTTTTTGCCCACACAGAATTCTCAAATGTGCCATGTTTACCAGCAGGAAACTGCTTGGTTTGAAGGTGACTTCTGTGTGAGCTGGAAGCATTAACGTGACTGTACTGTATATATAATTATACCCCAAAAAGCTAGTTTAATTGTGGCAATGTACTATAAATAACTTTCTACATACTGTTCTTATCCAATCATTTAATTTGTGTAAAGAATTGTGAAATCCAATGTGTGCCCTTATCTAGAGATTCGCCGGCGAGGCTCGAAGGACCTGCTGAAAGTGTGTGTAGTGTTGAATGGAGGAGAGAGTGAGGGGTCTGGACCCCCACAGATTTATGATGTACCATATGAAGAGGTTCTGGAGGGAATTCCCTTGACCCGACCTGAGTCCGACTCCAGACCACTGGCAGAGTATGAGCTGCCCTGGGAGTGGAAGAAGGAGCAGATTGTTAGGGCACTGTCAGGTACCACCCCTTTACTTTCATATTAGTAGCATCTTCGTTATTTAGCATTGCCATTGATGCCATTGTTTCTGATGAAATAGAACAGTTAAGATTGAAATTTGGACACGTGCTGCTGGCCCGAGAATTTTCGTTTTCCGTGGTTGCACCATTCGTTAACCGTTCTATTTCATCAGAAATGATCTTAAAACAGGGCTTTAAGTGTAAAATACCAAACTTTTCCTTTAAAAGTAATTTCTAATGAGATTGTGGTAGGCTACTTATGATGCAGCAGTTGGAGGTCATTTTTGCCAGATCATAAAATATGCAGCAATTGGTATGTTTCATTCTGTGTACAGCTCAGTTTGATGGAGTGGAGCGCATGTCGAAGGAAGAATCAGGTTCTCCTGTAAAACAGCAGACCCTGAGACATAAGAGCTGGACCCCCAAATCTCTTCGACCGAATCCCCCCTCCCCGACTTCCCCATCGTCTCCCAGCATTATCCCAGACAGTGAGACACCAATAGTTGATCCCACCCTGCCTTTGGAGAAACAGAGGTGTGTGTTTGTGTTTGAAAAACATGTTTTATACACTTCTGCTAATGTGCGAATGTGGTTATTTTGAGCAGATTACCTGAAATTTAAAATCAAGAATGAAATGGTGAGATTAAAATAGTAGTGGGTAGTAAGTGCTAAAATATGCAGCATTATGACGTGAAACACCTGATCACCTAGCTACTGTGTATATTGGCAATTATAATAGAGGCCAAATTAATAGTTTGCATGTCAGAGAATACTCTTCAAAAGTCAACACTGAAAATTCTCTCATCATTTATGGACTCTTATGTTGTTCCAAACCTGTATGAGTTTCTTTCTTTTGCTGAACACAAAGGAAGATATTGTAAAGAATTTTGGTTAACAGTTGATGGACCCATTGACTTCCATAGTTTTTTGTTGTTGTTTTTTTCCATGGAACATTCTTTAAAATATCTTCCTTTGTGTGCATAAATGATGACAGAATTTTCAGTGTTGATGTTATTTTTGAAGATTATTCTTTATGAAATGCAAACATAATATCAATTTGGCTATCTATTGATATTAGAACTACCCTTTTAATTTTTTTTCATGTAGTATTATATTTTTTTAGATTTTATGTATATTTTTTATAATATTTATGTTGTAATGAAAAATTGTCCACATAATAAAAAAAAAACGATTTTTAAATAAACATAAATATCAATAAGTATACATGAAGAGTTCAGATGCAAAAGCCTCTAAATGCCATTTGAAATTTTCTTCTTTAATGATGATTTTTTATCAAACTTGTATATTTAAGTTCAGTAATTTCACTTAAATAACAATTAATAGGTAATTATCATTGCCATTTAAGTGAAATCACTGAACTTAAATATACAAGTTTGATAAAAATCATCCTTAAAGAAGAAAATTTCAAATGGCATTTAGAGGCTTTTGCATCTGAACTCTTCACATGTTTATTAAAATTTTCTCTAATTTATTTATTTGAATTTGTTTCATTATTGCTTTTTTATTGTTGTTTATTTATAATATATAATAAAGCACAGCCTCCCAAATCCAAAAGTGAAAAATTGAATATTCACCCTCATGTCATTTCAATGTATGACTTTATTTTTCTGTGAAATATTCTGAAATATATTTTTGTCCATTCCGTTAAGAGTCAGTGGCAAGCACAACAAAATTGGACCCCATTGACTTTACTTATATGACAAAAATGATTTGGCAGATCTATCCATTTGCACTGTTGTCTGTCTTTCTTAATCTCTCCTAAATAATTCTCTTTTTATATAAAATCAAAACTTTATCTAATCTGTTTTAAAAGTACTGTTCATATTACATAATCATGCAATATATAAATAAGAATCTCCTCCCCTTTCCTTCCTCCTCTCTCTCTCTCTCTCTCTCTCTCTAGCTGGTATCATGGCAGTGTGAGTCGTCAGGAGGCGGAGGCTCAGCTGCAACACTGTAGGGAGGCCAGCTTCCTGGTGCGAGACAGCGAATCGGCTACCAGCAAGTACTCCATCGCCCTTAAGTAAGTGCGTGCGGGTGTATGTTTGATATCAAGAGAACAAGAAATGAGTTGGCAGTCCTGAAAAGCTGATGTAGATGATATAAGATCCTTATTTCCCTCTCTCTACAGGACGAGTCAAGGATGCGTGCACATCATCGTTGCGCAGACTAAAGAATGCGGCTACACGCTGGAAAAGACCAGCTGTGTGTTCCCAAGCATCCCAGAAGTGGTGCACCACTACTGTACCCAGCGCCTACCTTTCACCGGGGCAGAACACATGACCCTACAACACCCCGTACCACGCACACACTGAACACACATGCTAAACGTATACACAGCGTTCTCTGGTGCAAAAACATGAATGTAATACTGTGGTCCCTGCCAATCGCATACCAGCAAAGCACAGTTTAACTCTTTTTCTTAGTGTATGTATATGTGCGCATGGAAATGAGTAATTGGGACTTTTCATATTTGAGTTTTCACCCCCTTTGAAACCAGGCCCCTAACCCTCCAGAGAAACCAAGGGAGGAAATACGTTTCACAAAAGCTGTGGTTTAAACGCCACAGTGTATCTGTTGTTGACTTTTGTTTTGCTATTTCCTCATCCCTTGTTTCAGTATCCTGGGACTGCAGCCTCATAAGTTCACTTCCAGTTATGCCACTGATCTAACTATGTGCCTGAAGGGGTAAATCGCTCCTAAACTCCCCCTGCTGGCAGCTGCTCCAAACTGCAAATCACTCATGCAATTGATGCCAATTTTGTCACTTTCCCTGGTGAGACACAAATTTGAATCCCTGCAAGAATGACTGTGCATTTAAATGGCCAGAATTGGCAGAGTTCATATTTTTAGAATCCCTAGTATAGATTAAGTTTAGAATTGTTGAATCCTCATATTATTGTATCCTCTGAGAAAAACATTTCACCCCACATTGGCAGTTCCTAGCTGAGGTTAGATCGTTAGTTCGGATCAATACAGCAAATTGAAGCTGGCTCGTTCATCAGATAAATGAGTCATTGCCGTTGATTGGCCAATGTTCTTGTCTGTCAGTGATAAAACTATTATTGATTGGTTTGCGTTTGGGAATAGTGGGATGTTGCACGGCTTTACTGACCGCGCAGTCATGCTTGGATTCATGGTGTACCGAATGTGACATTGCTCTCTTGGTGATGGGAAGTTACGTTTCAATGTGTCTTTTTGTTTGAAGGTCACAGGTTCCGTTTTAATCTTTAAGGATGCTAAATTTGATTTTGAGATAATTATTGTTTTAAAAGGATAGTTAACCCCAAAATGTTGTCATTACTTACCCTCAAGTTGTTCCAAACCTGTATGAGTTTCTTTCTTCTGCTGAAAACAAAATCTTTAGATATTTTAAAGATTGTTGGTAACCACCCATTGACTTCCATAGTTGAAAAAAAATGTACAACTATGGAAGGCAGTGGGTGCCCACAACTGTTTGGTTACTGACATTCTTTCTAAATATCTTCTTTTGTGTTCAGCAGAAGAAAGAAATTCATACAGGTTTGGACCAACATAAGAGTGAGTAAACAATGACAGAATTTTCTTTTTTGTGTGAACTTTTGCTTTAACCTAGATGAGAGAAATGAGAGAGAGGGAAAATACATTCTCTGAAGATTTTGCCTTTGTACAATGTAAGACTGTGCAAAGCTTAAAATAAAGCAGATAATGCTGAATTTGTTAAATCTCTGTCTCTTTCACATTCACACACAAAGGTTCCTGCAAAAATACAACATATCAGGACCACAACAGATCTACTGTGCTAAAACCATAACCATAAGTCCATTTAAAAAAAAAATATTAATACTTTAATTTAACAAAAACAATAAATAAATTGAATGTTAAAGAATTTTATATTGTAAAAAATCTATTTGAATTTCATTCATCAAATAATCTTGAAAAAAGTATCACACTGTCCACAAAAATATAAAGCAGCACATCTACTGATCAGAAATCAGATGTTTTCTTGAACACTAAAATCAGAAAATAAAATAATGATTGCTTAAGATCATGTAACGTAACGATGCTGGAAATTCATCACAGGCCATTACTTTTTAAAATACATTACAATATAAGATAGTTATTTTATATGTAATTTTTTTTTCACAATATTACTATTTTTACTGCCTTTTTTTAACAAGATGAATGCAGGCTTTTTTTTAGTGTAAGAGACTTTTGTATACATCATCAGGACAAAGACTAAGACTCATTAAGAATGATTACACTCTTGCTCTCAAAATTCAGGGGAAAAAAACACAAGAAAAATATATATTTGAAATAATTCATTAAATAATACGAGTAATGCATAAACAAATAAAACATAAGAAAACTGGCAGAGAATGATGCCAGCATTGCCAATTCCCAGTGATCATATACAAACTAAAATAGAAACCTTGAACGCATTGGATGAAGTCGGTTTTGAGGAAACCATTTAATTATCCATAATACATACATAATTAGAAATGTACACTCATCTGCTCTGAAAGCTACCCATCATGCTTTACTTGCTTTCAACCTCTTGCTATTTCAAGCTTCATATAGCTCTAACTGAGAAATATATATTGTATTTGTGTGTGTGAATTTTTTCATTGCCTTTTTTCCCCAAAGAAAATATTTAGTTTTTTATGTCCTAATAGCTGACTGAGACCACCATCATTATCCTTTCAAATTGCATTCAGAACTGGTTTTTCACAACAGCTGAAGTCAGTCAGTGTGTCAAAATCACAAAAATTTGAGAAAGCATGCCACCAGCAAATGGCAGGAGTCAGAGACGGAAGGAGGGAGGGTGGAGTAAGGAGGAGGGAGGGGTGAGATAAGCACTCGGGGGGTCCCAGTACGTGAATAATTCAAGAAGAGACTCCGAGTACTTGCAGCACTGAAGTTTCCCTGTCAGCTCAGCTCTGCAGAGATAGAGAGAGGCAGAAAGTATACAAATGTGTGTGTGTGTGTGTGTGTGTGTGTGTGTGTGTGTGTGTGTGTGTGTGAGAGAGAGAGAGAGAGAGAGAGAGAGATAGGGAGAGAGAGAGCAAAAGTGCACATATGACATCAGAAGGAAAGAACAACTGAGGAAGGCTGTGAGGGAAACCACGGAGGAGAGGCGGAAGTTTATGTGAAGAACAAAAATAACAGCAGGAAAAATTGTAGTTGGAGCTGATGAACAAGGTGATGTGAAAGGCAGGTTGAAAAAAAGTGAAAGTGATCAAAAACTATAATTTTCTTTCAAAAAAATAAGCCATGATCTTCTCTAAACAAGCATTTAAAAATATTATATATTAATTTACATATTAATTCACATTATATATATATATATATAGTAGAATATTCATTGGTATAATGTATTAGGACTGTATTATGTTTTATTTTAAGTATATTCAAATACATTTTATAATCCATATGACAGATACTGTATAAACATCTGAATCATCTAACAATATTATATAATAGTGCATAGTGTGAATTTATTAATAACATATTGAATAGAAATAATATGGCTACAGAACGAACATGAAGATGCTTGTGGCCCAAGTGTCAGTGTGTCTGAGTGCCAGACACTTGACCTGATGATGACGACAAATATATTATTGTTGTTGTTGTTTATGTTCTTATGATGTGCATGTCTTTTTACATTTACAACACCTCATCACACACACACTATGTTGTAAGTCAGAATATGGAAGCCATCATATTCCAGGAAGCTTGAGGTAGCCTCATCTCTGTGTGACTCACTGCTCATAAAGAGCATAGCAGTACACTATGGTGTGAATAGGATATGAATACATACGTAACAGTCAACCAGTGAGTCACCAGTGACCAAGCTTTTGCTTTCCTCCACATTAATTCCACCTCCCTGCTCTCTCTTTCTTCTCTTTCTCTCTATTAATCCATTATCTCTTCTCATCCCCTTTCTTGTAATGTTTTCACATCATTCCTTCCTTTCTCCTCCCACTAGGGATGTAAATCCAAGGTCATCTATATAAGGATCCCTCCAGAGAACATGAAGAAATAGACATTTTGGCCAACGGGTGTAAGTGTATGTGTAACGGAAGACAGGGAGAGTCATAAACAGTGTGAGTGCATGAGACACGGAGAGAGGGAACTAACGGGAGATCTTGGAGACCCCATCATCTCCCCGGAAGCGACGGCTATTTCTGGAACGCTGAGCACTGAGTTTTGACACACAGCAACTGCAGAACCACTGGTTGAAAGGCCAGAAGTGACTGACACACAGACAAGAGTGGTTGTGATGTGGGGACAGTACTCAGTCATATGGTGATGTTACCGATACTGACTGGTGGAGAGAGGATACCCTTCTCCTTGACAACCTCACACCCAGCCGCCCACTCCCCTGGGGCAAAACAAATGAAGCGTAAGTCTCATGCAGAACGAGCTTTACTCCCTGCTGCTGGATGGGGTGATGCTGCCTTATACAGCTGTTGGGAGCAAAATGTGTGTGTAATATTTGAAGGTAAGCGGTGCTGAACAATTATAAAAATAAAATAATGATAATAATATTTAATGATTATTCTACATGGTATTGCAATCACTTATTCACTATTAATTGTTTAAACACAATTACATATACAATACAAATTTGAAAAGTGTTTTATACAATCAAGTTCCCAAAAGGTCAACTTCACAATAAACTAATAAAATCATGAAAAACAAAAACTGTTTCTCAAATTCTGAATAAATTACATAAAAAAATGGAGCAATATCACACATTCTAGTGTTTCTGTTCGCTTATAATCAACAAAGCAACAGTAAAATGCAAGTTTACATTTGATGTGACTGTTTGGGATCTATACACTTCAACAGAATTCAGCTATTTTGCCTTGTGAACTATAGTTACACATTTCGAGCAAGTCCTGTGAGATCTAGACCAACAGGACTGTTTCACACCCAGTTTTCATGGGCCAAAGAATGGCCAAGCTTCTCGTGAATGGTTCCACTGCTATATAGGCTACAGTTCGCCATTGAAAAATTTACACATTCTTAAAATAATTTTTTTTCTCCCTCACAAAGATAACATTGTGGGTTCCCAAATAACCCTTCATGGAACCGTTTTAAAGAGAATCACTTTCTTAGAGTGAAGAACAATTTCATAATCTGAAAAAAACTTTTCCATTAAAAAGAACATTTGTGAGATTGTTCTTTTTAAGGTTTAAGGTTCTTCAACCAGCCAATCATATTTGAGAGTGTAGGTCACAGTTGAATAGTCCCCTTTCAACATGTAAAAAAAAAAAAAAAAGGTTTATAATCAAAGCTTAAGATCTACCTATTATGGCTCTCACATAATAGACTATACCTTCATTTGCCCAACAGAAATGTCAGGGATTGCTTGCAGTTCTCAACCACTTCATGATGACCGTTTTGGAAGTAGCCTGAACCTAAACGGAATGATGTAATCAACTCTTTTCACGAACTTTGGAAATTATTATAATTGTTGTAATATAATTTTTTTAATAGGCCTATATATATTACTTTTGAAGTCATAGACGGAGAAAATATTTTCGAATAGCCTATGTGCTGCCAAGCCCCCTATGAAATGCAGAATGCACTATGAATCCTCAGGAGAACCAAATGGCCTTGTAAAGGAAATATTAAGTGTCCTGTAACAAAAAAGACATTCTATGTAACCGGATGTAGTGAGAAGGAATCTGAGGATTGCATCCCTTGCCTTCCCTTCCCCGCCCCGCCCCTCCCATCCGCTGCTGTTTCTGTCATCTCGTCACATCTTCTCTCGCGCACCGCGACGAGTCCTTCACCTTACCTGGCTCCACATAAAACCATTCCCTCACGCTCGCGAGGGAAACTAGACATTCACTAACCCAGAGCCGCTGATGTAACGATGCCAGGTAGTGAATAACGTCGAGAAGCAAGACATTTTCATTTAACCATATTGCGCGTGTACACCTCGACAAAGTCACGCTCCGATACGCACGACCACACGCGCCCACGGGAGAGAGCAGTTCACGCGCGGCAGATGCTTCCCCGTCCTCGCTGAGATGATGGCTATGTGGACGCTCTTCTGCATCCTCGCCATTGTGAAAAGTAAGTTATGTGGCTTTTATTCGCGAAACTAGTCGTGCATAATGTATAGGCTTGCCATAGAAGAAGGGATGTATGAGCGAACCGTAGCTCTTTTGGAGATGGAGAGATGCTGGGCGGTGGACTACATACAAACAGTGTTAATATTTCATTTGTGACCTGATTTTTTTTTTTGGTTTATATTATGTCCATATTTTCTTGTCGTCCTGTAAGTTGCCGTAGCACATTAATATACTGTAGAATCACGGCGGCGGCATGTTGGGCTGTTTGTCATTGTGCGCAGAAGTGCTGAGCAGCGGTTATGACACTGTAGCCTAAAACGAAATGATAATACCCATTACTGCAATGAGCCGCAACTGCTGAAATGTGATTTTTAGAGGCGCCGCTTGACGAAGATAACATTTAATTTGTGTGTATATCACTCAGCAATGCCTCGCAGGAATGGATTGGATAGTTGCAAAGCTTGTGATAAATCGATTTGTTCATGTAGGTTTCTGAAATGGCTTGAAGTGTGCATGGAGAATACATGGGTCTTTAACCTCCTGACGCATGTTATTAAATCTCTACGGGGAGAGAAAGTTTAATGTTTCTTTTTACTTCAGAAAAATAATGATTCCCACCCAGATGTTAAACATCTGTCATCACCATGAATTTAAGGCTGTATTGTAAAGAAATTTAACTAAATAGCAATTTGTTGGTAAACAAAAAATATTATAGTAGCCTATGCATAACATAACACACTTTCACACATATCATGTGTGTCTTTAATATAAATCTATAGTGTTGTTATTTAATAAAAAAAAAACATCTTAGACATTACCTACACCTTATCATGAAATACACTTTATAGTCTGTGGAGTCCAATATAGTGGACATAATAATTTTTCATTGTGCGAAGTAAACTAAAACAAACAAGAGACATTACAAATAATGCAGAATAATGCAAAGAAAAGAAGATTCCATTTAAAAAAAAAAAAAAAATCTCCTGGAATCAGAAAAGTGATCTTTAACCACCTTTTGCTTACCATCTTTTGTATTAATACATTTTATGTATACCTTGCCTGTTCATTTTTATGATGTAATTGTTGCAATGCTCCTGTTAGAGACATATTGATTGAACATACATTTTTAATTGAACAAGCTTAATATGAAAAAATAAGTAAAAGTGGACATATACCACATTATGGGCTGATAAAAATTGACTTGGGTCCTTCTTTATAAGTGTCAGACCCCAGAAGGCTAATTCAGTTAATTAACTCTGAGTACAAGCAAATGAGTAAAAGAACGAGTGGCCGCCAGATGTGTGGTGAAAGGGTTTGCTAAGGTCAAAAAGAGGAGGGCCCTCTCTCCACCATCCTACATCCATCAATAGCCCTCTTTTCATTCTCTTACACAGCAATGCAAGGATATACTACTACATCTGTGTGTATTAGACTAGGCATTCAACCCAGTAACCCACCCAGTCATATTAGATGACCATTAACGGTTGTTATGGAGATGAACAGACATACATCCAGTGTGTGAATGATTAAGGTTAATACACACAAGGACTATGGTCTGTGGCCTGTTCTCTCATTAAGTGGCATCAAGTCCAAAGCTCTGAGTCTGACCTGTATTAATGTTGAGCTTTTGTTCAGCTAAAATCCAACACTCTATACTTCTGAGATCATCTTTTGGGAAATAGCTCTTAAGGAATTTATTTACAAACTCCATTATGGATAAAAGCCACCGTCCTTTGCATTACCATTTTTAATGATCCCGTGGGCGGGGATACAAAAATGGGGAAGTGTAATCTGTAGTTTTCACGAAAGTTCAGGAGCTGTCAAAAGTCTTTTTGCGGCATTTCTCGGTCCAGGTATAACATACAGAAGGAGTAAAAAATATTTTATTTACCAATACTGTAACAAAGAAATCGGTGAAGTTAGACTTTAAAAGTGTAGTTCATCCAAAAATGAAAATCTGTTATTCACTCTCATGTCATTCCAAAGTGAATAAATTGTCATACATCTTCGAACACACACAAAAAAATTCTGTCGTTCCATTGAAAGTCCATTCCAACAAAACTTTGATACTTCAAAATGTTTCTAAAGAAAATCCATGGAAAAAAGTAATCCATGTGAATAGAGTGGTTTAATATAAGTCCTCTGAAGAGACACAGTTTAGGCTGCATATGAATAAAAGCCTAAATTAAACCTGTTCACCGTGTAAAGCGATTGTGTCTCTTCAGCACTGGACTTTAAATGGAGGGACAGAAGAAAAATATCTTGATTAACTTTTAAAGATTAAATATCTTTATTATTGTTCAAAGACGGATGAATGTAAGTTTAGAGTAAATGGAGAACAGAATTTTTATTTTTGGGTGAACTATTGCTTTAAGGCTGCATTTAACCCAATTAGTATAGTTTATAGTATAGTTAGTATAGTTTTTATAGTATTACGTTTACCTAAAATAATTAATTTGATTCAGTAATATTAAACTTTTTTATATATATTTAGATATTTACATAATTCCTAGTTTTGAATGTATTATCACACACACACTAAAAAGTGCTATGCAGGCACAGGAAAACACGCCATTCGTAGGCACCCACCCAGCCGAAATATATGGTGAATCAATATTAATTTCCTCTCACCTCATCCATTCCGCCCACGCATTAACTGTAATTAATGTCAGCAACTCTGTCCTGGCTCTGTTTTGCTAAGCTTCCTGCCGTAAGGCTTCTCTTTATCAAGGAGGAGCAGATTTGGCAGTGATTTTGGACTAAATACAGCCTCAGTCTTGTGGGAGCCGTAAAAACAGACAAAGCCTGTTGTAGAGTGACTTATGGTCCACCTTTTATCTACCAGCTGATTGATGGTGGAGACACAGTGGGTCAAACCCTCTCCACCTCCTGCATTATAGATCTGCTACAAACTAACATAATCAAGACTTTTAAAACATACCACACTACATAAGCCAAATATGTGATGGATTGATGGATATTTTCAACAGAGCACACAGAGTTGTTGAGAGAGGGAATAATCCGTGATGCTGGAAGCGGATGGTGGAGGCGAACTTTGACATGGAATAGTCAGGGCAAGAATCGGAAAAAAGCGTTAGGTGTGTTGCTTCAAGAACGAGACAGATCTCAAACCCGCAGGCTTGCATACTAATCAAATGACATATTCACAAACTTACCCATGCGTGTATCACTGTCTTTCCCATTTGCAGACACGAATAAAGAGATGCATATTTTGAGGGGTCAATAAAGAACACTGAGTGTAGGTGCGGATGGGAGGTTCACCTCCTAGTCTATTTTTAGCGTTTATTATTCACACCTCAGCACACACACACTCCTCCACACAGAGTCTGTATCTCTCCCTTACTATTGGTCAAACTCATTGACTCTCTAAAAGACTTTCAAGGACGTCCTGGCTTCTTCTTTTAGGACACATCTACCGATTTCAAAGACACATCATCAGCATTGTTTCCTGGTATCATAGGGTGTTTTGGGTCTTTCGCCTGAGGTGGATCAAGCCTTGGCCTGTGTCATTGGCATTTTGGGGTCTCCACACGCCACGCTTTTTCAACTAGGCATCTTGATACCCGCTCTGTAGTCTCCATTCTGTTGCTGATGGCTCTTCTCCAGCTTGCATCAGTTATTCATTCCATAAGCCTTGCTGAGGGAATGTCCTTCAAATCTTCTGCAACCCACCTCTACTGGCATGCACCTGGTTTTCCATCAATTCCAGCGGTCCCTCATTCCCTCTTTCTCATATGCTCCTCCATAGTTTCCTCCCAGGGCAAAGTTAGCTCCACTAGGATAAGCTGTTTCGTAGACTCCAAGACCAGGGTAATGTCCAGTCTATGCGTGGACTGGGTGATGTATGCTGGAATTTCCAGCTGCCTATCCCGGTCAACTGTCATCAGATATATTGTCAAATATACCGTCATCATTTACTTACACTCATGTCGTTCCAAACCTGTATACATTTCTCTCTTATGTGGAACATAATATGATATTTTCTATCCAATTACAATAAATGTATACTGCAGTGTTCAAGAGAATGGGCACAAATCAGCATAAAAGTATTGCATAGTATTGATAGCGACCATCGGAGCCAGCTGATAAAATAAACTTTTGCCGAATCTCGTAGGAAGGACAGCAAAAACATCTTTCTGATCGAAAAAATGCCTTTTTTTGCAGTTATCTGTTTGTCTTTTAAAACGAATGTGCTGTCGATTGCTTTTACAAAAGATGCAATAGCAGAATCTATACATCTCAATTCTCCATCTGCAGTCATCTTTGAGGGAAACCAGTTCAACCCAAGCGCACTTTGATAACGTGATGACATAACTGCAGATAATCTGTCCATCATCGTATAAATCCCGCCATGGCAATGTGATTGGCCCGACTAATTCTGAACCGATCATAATTACTACTCAATGGATCGAGTCGACCAAAAAATGTTGTGGGTGGGGTTCGGGCTGGCATCCCGGCTATACGAGAACAGCTGCAACTGGTTTGCGAATATATACCCAGCAAACACAGAATGTTCCTCTAATGTTCCCAAATGGTCCCATGAGGTTATTTTTTGGGAACCAAACAAGAACGTTATAGGAATGTTCCATGTTGGTTATTTTTAGGTTCCATTTTTATAACGTAAGGAGAATGTTCTGGGAACGTTTCCTTAACCTTAAGGGAAAGTTCTAGGAACGTTCTTGGAACCAAAAACTAATGTTCCCAGAACCTAAATTTGTTTGCTGGGTATATATATATATATATTCGCAATATTGCTGTTTTTAGTGTATTTTTGATCAAATAAATGCAGCCATGATAAGCATAAGAGACTTCTGCAGACCTCAAACTTTTGAGCAGTAGTTTGTATACACAAACCCACTCACAACTTGTCTATCTTGCCTTCTCTTTATCTTATTTTCTCTCCATTTTGCGGTTTCTTGTAGATAGCTTATATGTGCATATAACATGCTTGCGTTGCGCTCTTGTCATCTGATATGTATG